CATGATTAGCGCACAACTGTCACCCATGTGTACCCTTCCACTGGCTTCATCAAGCTGTGCAATGAATAGAAGATTGCTGGATGCTGTCGGCACATGTAGCACATTGTGAAGATTGAACCTTACTATGCGATTTTCCACTTTACTTCGGATGGCTACAGTGCCTCGGCCTAAAGCCTTGATAGGCGCTGGACCTATCTTGGAGATTAAGTGGTTGCATAAGGGCTCATAGGTCTGGAAAACATCACAGCGAGAAGTGATGTGGAAGGTGCTTCCTGAATCTGCAAACCAACCACAAAACGAAGCATCTGAATCTTCTGAACCTAATGATACACAGTTTTCGTTATCATCTTCTGCAATTCTCGCCTGATCTCTCTTGGCACAGCTTGATCCAGCGATTTGTGAATCATTGCACTCATGCGCTTCGAACTTCGACTTCTTCTTTGATGGCTCATCTCATGCCTTATCAGTTGCCAAAGCCCTTACTGGTTCTGGCATAATGTTCTCACATGTAGTTTGCTAGGACCTCAGTAGGTACACCATAGATAGAGTGATCAGGGACCAGCCCTACATGTGTTGGAGCTCATGAGAATCTAAGGAAGGACCTTATATTCATTATACTATTGTATGTGGCCAGCAGGCCAGCTCTCCCCTTTCACCTTTTGTGCAAGGCCATGCATTGGGGCTTTGCCTTGATTTCTGGTTGTATGCCACTGCACGCCATCCTCAGCCTAGCCCTTGTGGCAGGCTTTTATATTGTGGATTTATTTGTGCAGGTCACGCAAGCAGACTTGCCCTTAATTGGGTTAAGTGCTTTGTGCTTTGTGACAGAAGCGCGCAAAAATGGTCACATCCATCCTATCCCTGTTCCTACCACTTCGTCACCTGCGAAACATGGATCTTCCATTGTTTCACTCAATTATGAATGTGTGATGTCTTTAAGTCATGCTCCCTCTGCAACTGCTCCATCCGGACTGATCTAGGACTGGCAGAATTGTGTCACGGCACCTCATAGATCCTGCTAAAAGGCAAGAAAATGGCTGCAAGGTGCTAGCCACACTCAGTGACCTGCACAAATACCAAAATAAGGGCCTGCCATAAAGGGTTAGGCCAAAAAGGCATGCAGTGACATGCAGCCTGCAAAAAGGGGCTCAAAGGGCCCTTAGCCTTATATCACACAAAGAGGGGGTGATGGCTTGTAAAGCTGCATGAAATAGATGAATGAAACTGGGGATACCAGCTTCCTCATGGATGCTTATATACATGCAGGTAGGGACCTCAGTCACTATACTAAGGTAAACACCCCTGACACCTACATGTGAACATGATACCATAACCAGTTAGGTTCTGGTAGCTACTATGGCAACTATCTACAAAGGCCACGGATACACTGAGGTAATCCTATCTAATCCAACAGGATAATTGCCTGAATGTGATGCCACTATTTGAGCAGCAAAGTGGTGCCACTATTGAGTGGCGAGATGAGGCCACTATGGAGTAACCAATAGAATTGGTGTCACTTCTCTGAGTGACGAATTGGATGCTTGCTAGCTTGATGGTCCAAAGGGTTCCTTTCTGGGCAAGTGGCCTGGTGTCACGTGATCAACACCTGACAACTTTTGAATAGGGCAAGTGGCCAGTGTCACGTGACTGGGTGGCTGAATCATGGGTGCTTGATGGTCATGTGGTAGACACAGTCGTATCCGCAATGTATGTGACATTATTGTACTGTTTGTCTAAATATCCACTTTGTGAGACCAATATGAAGGTTGGCGTCTGAATAACCACTTGTGGTTGTCAAATGATGACTTTAATGGTGCAAAAAGAAAGGTGCCACCTAATACTGTGACACTACCCTCGCTTCAAGGTTCAGACTCCCAATGAACTGAATAAATTCTAAGGTAAATAGTACCCTTGCTTCACATTCTGACTTCCAGGGTAGAATGACAGGGTGTGTAGATGGCATTCAAGACTTTGCTAGCAGCAAAAAGGGGTAATGCAGTTTAATGGCTTGCTCAGGTAAGTAGTGCACTTGTAGGGCTAACAGTTCTTGGTCCTAGATGTCTGATGTCACAGACAGCGCTATTGGCTGCTGTTGCCCAAGATAGTGTGCAAAAGGCCTTGCAGTTTAAAGACATGCACTTGGTCATTCGTGGCGCTCAAAGCTGCCAAAATTTGAACAGTTTAATGACATGCCAAGGTCGTGATGCTTGCAGTTTAATGACTTGTGCTAGGTCACAAAAGACGCATGAATTTGTAATGCAAAAAGATGCTGTTTTTGGCTGCAGTGTCGACCCTTAGGTATCATTCTCCAGATACCAGATTATTCTGGTCTTCTGTCTTCAGTCATGACTTCGTGCTTCTTTGCTACGGCTTGTCACATAGGATATTACTTAATTCATGGCAGATTTCTGGTTACCCAAGAAATCGAACCCACGCACATGGTATCTTGTGAGACGATCAGGTCCTGATGTATCAGATTGTCATAGCTTAACACCTAAGCCATTTGAGTGGGTAAGATACCTGGTTCGAAACTCAACCAGTATACGCTCTTTATTATATAATCCATGTCAATGTAATCATGATTTGTCAGGCTGTGTGGGCGCTCAAAGCTGCCATTTTTGTGTTGTAAGCCCGATTATGAGGGTAGGTGATGTTGTAATGCTGATTACATGTTGTATATCGCATTGTAGTGTTTGCAGTTTATTGACTTGTGCAGGTCCATGGTGGCACTCATAGTGGCCAAATGATAGGATACCCTTGGTCAGAGGGCTGTTTCAAAGATTGTGTCTTGTACCTGAAAGGTTGCCTATGTCTTTTTAGGATTTTATATAGAATTGGTGTCATTTGAAGTTGAGAGGCGTTCCCCAATGCTCTGTCTCATAGATAGCAATGGTCTCTCATTTGCTCCATTCAGTGGCATGTTAGGCAAAAAGTTTGAAAAATGTCGCTCTGTGAATTGAGGAAAAATATAATCCTTGATGTCCCATCTGGTGGATTATCCATACCACCTTGCTTGTGTTCCTTTGGATGTCACATTGCATTATGTGTGACAATTGCTGTTGATGTGCCTGTCAGCTCTTCAGCATTCCAGGCATAGTTACATATTTATTGCACATGCGCACATCAAAGGTGATTAACCTTTGGTTATCCCCTATATTACCTCCCCCTTGCCAGGTCCCTTCCAGGACCGGCGCAGCATAAGCGAATAGTGAAACAAACAAGACTGGGGGCACAAAAAGATAAGGGAGGGTGGATGAAAAAAAAATCTTAGCACTTGTGTGGGGAACAGGTAGTCACCGGGGGCATTGACCTGTGATTCCACCGGAAACATTGTAAACGCACCATGATCACAGTCACAATGTTGTGACTTATGTTTTCGTGGAACTTATGGTGATAACAGTCTGAATATTGCTGAAATGACATGCAGATAATTTCTGTGTGATTTAGCAAGAGAGTTGCTAGTTACATCTTCATTTATATCACCTGTTTCATTGGTTGAAAATTATGTGAACATCGTAATTGGAATCTGGATTTGTCCTCAATGCAGTCACTCATATCAATGTAGTATGATTCTGGTAACATTTTGGATGTTTTCACCAATAGAAACAGCTAAATCAGGTGAAAATCATCGCTGCTCCATCATTGATGGCATCAATATGCATTCAAAATGTTTTCAAATGTGTCATTGAGGTCACATGATATTTTCATTGATGGTGTTTTCTGCCAAAACATTGGAGGTGATTTGTCGATGCAGTCAACATGTATCCTCCATGTGTCCATGGTGAGAAGGGCATATGCAGCTTGCACACATTCACAGAAAAAATTGCTTGCTTTACAACGGCATCTGAAAAACACTTAAAATGCTTCTAAAATGCTGCCTCCATGATTCTCAGATGAATTCAGGATGTTTTCTGGGTGGCTGCTGCATGTGTTCAAAATGTTTCCTCTCAGAAACAGATGATCGGGCCAATCAAAGCTCGTCTTGGCATAATATTTTAAAATTTAGTTCAGTATTATGTTTCACCTGTAATTGTTAAATAAATAACATCTCACTTTCTAGACAATGCCACATTTTAAAATGCCATATTTACAGCATATTGTATCTAAGACATCAGCTCTGAAGAGCGCAAGCGCATCCTCTACAGACTCAATTGCGAACACCATCACCATCCGTTGAGTCTGTTCCTACCGTCGCATCACTCACCTCCCACATTACCTCCATCTCCGCAAAGATACTGCACTCCTATGTCCTGTCCCACCTCCAGGATGCCCCCAAGCCCATTCTCGCTGCGTTCGTGACATTCTTTGCTGAGCTCATTTCACCTTCATGGCATCATTGCATGCGCTGCCACAAGGACTATGTGGAGGTCGAGAACGATGACAGGAATTGTCTGGTGCCACATGATGATAAGAGTGCTGAGGTCGAGCACGTCAGGAGGACCACGAGAAGTGGCAGGCTCGTGATCGATCCTGGGATGACATACGAGATGCTGTGGGAATGCTGCGGTAAACTCACTGATGGAGACGGGGGCCAGGGCAAGCATACGGTGTGTACTCTGATCTTTTCTCATATTTCTTCACCATGTCCTGATCGTCTCCTGCTGCAAACTGACATAAAGAGCATATGGACATGGACCAACGTGAGCACGAGAATACCAAGAATGTCAGCATCAGCACATGCGGACATACCCCAGCTGCTCGCAAGCAGGCCAGGGCCTCCGTCACTTCTGCCTCTCAAGCCAATGCCGGAGCCGCTGCTCTCAAGCGCAAAGGTCGCCTGCTCAAGCCGGTGCAGCGTGTGCAGACGGCGGATGCAGGTGCTCACGAACTGATCGTGTATGCAGTTTGCACACCGCCCAGTGGTCTATGCTCCTTTGCGACACCTGGGTTTGGCAAGAAGAAACCCACACCGCTCCGAATGAAAATAGCTGCAGACAACAGCATCTCCGTCATCGACGTCTGTTCTGACGAATCCCTCTCTGCCAAGCCTCTGACCGCCCATGCCCGAACAAATGGTTATCATTCGAGTCCTCATCTGATGCTCAGAATGCACTGGCTCCGAAGCACGTCAAGGTGGAGTCACAGCTTCAGAAGGATAACGAGCGGCATCACCCTAAGGGACAAGGAAAAAGTGAGGAGGTTACCTCTCGAATCGTGAATTCACATGGAGATGGAAACTAAGTCCTCTCCAGTCAAATTAATCCTATATGCAACCGTCTTGCCTGCTAATGGATTTGCCCGTATGACCTCGACACCCTTCTTGCCATCAGATCATTTGGACTTGTCCTTGGTGCGTGCTTTCAGACATTATATACAGTGATGTTCCAGTCGTCATATGGCCCTCTGACACTACAACAAGATAGGAATCCCCTCCCCGTCATCACTGCCTGCCAAGCAGGACGATGCACTGCTCAAGTCACCTCACTACACTGAGATCATGCAGAACCTGCACAACATCTTCGGACTCAAGTCCTTCCACGTGAACTAGCTCGATGTGATCATCACACTGCTCTCCGGACAGGACTCAATGGTGCTCATGCCCACAGGTGGCTTGGGTAAAAAAGCCTGTGCTATCAGCTGCCCACAGTTTGCAAGGACAGCAAGACATGGAGCACGATGGTCGTTGTCATTGGGTCGCTACTAGCACTGATGCAGGACCAGGTGGCAGTGCTACAAGACAAGGGCATCGACGTCGCATTTTTCAACTTGGAGCAGACACATGAGGAGGTGGATGTTTGCCGGCGGCTGCTCCATCGGATCAGGCGGCAGTGGCCAAACTTGATACACATGATGCCGGAGAAGCTGAAGCACAGCTCGGCGTTGATGTTGATACTGAGGCAGCTATAATACAAGAAGCACTTGAAAGGATGTGTGCTCGATGAGGGCCACAGTGTGGTCAAATGGGGTTGGAACTTCCATGATGCAGTAGGACACACATCTGCTCGAATTCGCTGATTTGCTCACATTACTCTGATCACGGTATCAGTTCCTCGACGATTTCTGCCAAGGTTTTCCAGGCATTCTGATCATGGCCCTGACCGCGACCGCGACGGCGCACATGAAGCACAATTTTAAGCATCTCCTGTGAATCTCTCATTGTGTCGAGTTCTTGCAATCGATGAAATGCCTGAACCTGAACTACGAGGCGTGGCCGAAGAAGAAGGTGGCACTTCAGGAGATCGTGCAGTTTATCAAGGAGAGCTACACCGGTGAGACCGGAATCATCTATGTGCACAGCCGCAAGTTGTGCAAGGAGATCATGTACAGGTTGAAGGAAGAACATGACCTCGATGCACAACGTAATCGTTGCGACCGTACGAGGGCTCATTGAGGTACCTACCAAAATACAGCTGGCCAAAGCATTACCCAGATTGCATTCGGTATGGGTACAGACAAGTCAAACAGTATATGTTACTGTTTTTGGGAGCAACGATCTCTCACCTCTGGTCCAGTGCAATTTGCGATTCATCACGACTTGCCTAGCGATCTCGACTGGTGAGTCTTTTTTTTTTAATTTCACACTTTTTTGATGCAACTCAATGCACAGTTACTACCAAGATCTAGAGACTGGACACACTGGTAGGGGTGGGCAGCCTGCCCATTGCATCTTATGTGAGTCTGCATTCTTATCTGATGCTCAAATCTAAGCCCAGGAGGACGCCCTACATGCTGTAGTCTATCAATACAGTGATTCCACCATCAGGCAATGGCGAATCCACAACAGCAAGGAGATTATGAGACTGAGAGGGCCCACCAAGCCGGTCAGCTAGGGCAGACAGCTAAAACAACAGCGGGAAATAAGGCAACCGCCTTGGGTGTTCCTCTAGAGTCGATTATCCGAGGAATAGCTTATGCAACGGTGCTGGTGGTAACTAGATGTATGTAATGGAATGATCCTTGTGATGCTCGCTAGAGGAAAGTTGGTTATAGACCCTGTTTAATGGCTTGCAGAGCACATAGCGTGGCTGTGATGAACACTCAATTAACATGCTACCGGTGAAATGAACAATTACTTACCTCCTGCACCACTTCCGTCTTTTGCCAAGTCAATCTCCACGCACTTTTCCACTGCCTCACCTGCCAAGGACTGGAGAGAAGAGTGCAGCTGAGCCTCGAAATTTGGGTAGTGTTGAATCAGACTGTGAATCACCGTCAGCCTTCGCTCCTGAAAACTTCATTTCACATAGCCTACCTGCCATCGACACCAATGATGAGGTTCTCCTTCAGTGCCTGCACTCCCCCTCTAAGCTTCGCATTGCCCGTTTGCATGAGAACCACAGTGACAGCAGTTCTGCTGAGCCTCACCACCCAGTTTGCTACAAGGAACACCGTTCACCGCACAATCACCGCATCGCGCAAGGACATGTTCTCCAGGTCGAGCACTTGCAGCCTCTGGATCACGATCTTCCGGATACACTCTAGCCATGCAATGTCATCCTTGCCTAGTGCCTTTGCATCTGTGAAATGGATGCTTTGCCAATTCGGTACGTGTCCATTGGCGCTGTTCACCTTGGCGGCATCAGTGCGGCCCAGCTCCCACGTGCTCTCAACCTCACTCATTACTGCCGTGTTGAGTCCATAGTGTGTGTTTAGTGGCTCGCTCGAATTCCCATTGAAAAGAAGTGGCTTCAGCATGGCATCGATAAAGGAAAGCAGGATATTTCGAGTGATCTCACCGAGGTACATTCCTGAAATGAACTTTTTGAAGGCCTGTTTGCGTGGGTTGATCGAGTCTTGATCAAGTTTGTTATCATAGGAAGCCGTGGGGAGACTTGTATGCTAGAACGACATCATTAGCGTGTTAAGACAAGTAGACCAAATGCCTTCATACAGTGTTGTTGAACGTGCTCCATTCTGCATTGATGATCATAAGCCCACCCTTTTGGCGTGCTGGAGAGTTACCAAGCTTGGTGATGTTTTCGACATTCTCGACATCTGCACTGTTGGTTCCAGTGCCAAAGATTGCACCTACAGGGTCATCAGAAATGAGTGGATGATGCGAACTGTTATGAGTGCAAAGCACACACCGCTCGAGTAAGCATGACTCTGCAGCATATGCACGTGACAGAAGGGTCCCTACTGTCTGTGATATATGTCATATCAGGATAGATACTCATAATTAAAGTATCATACGTCATTCACAAGCACAACGCAGTGCACATGCAAGTGCTTCCTGTCAAACGCATCCTGGAGCAGACTCACAATATCTTTACCAAGTGCATTTTTTGCTGAGAAGCCTTTCGTCCATGTCAGAATCTTTCCTCCATCTATCACAGTCTGTTCCACTGGAAAACTAAATGTCAAGCCTAGCGGAATGGAAAGTGGAGCAGAAGACTCGAAAGGGTTTGTGATGTCGGCTGTGGTGGGAGAGGAGACGGCACTGGAAAACTCGGTGAGGAAAGTGTCGACAGAGTCGGTGAGGTAGTCTACGTATTGTGGATCAAAGGGTTCACAACACCGTGCACGTCAAGTGGCTGGGTTTTCTGCTTGACACGAGTAGAGATATCCTAGCATTTGGCAGTGCAGTGAGATCGTGAGTGCACAGTTGATCATATCTGCTGGTTGTATGCCTGCATCACAACATCTGATGGCTGTCCTCAACCTGTGCATGTCACAGCCCACGCTAAGTAGGCACCGATCATTCCATTGAGTCCTCAATCATATCTGAGCTCGCTGTGACTCTACCGTCTTTCGCCCCTTATCATGACCTGCTTGATCTTGACTGAATTGTGTGCTTGATGATGCAGCTCATGTGATGGTATTCGCCAGCATCTAGCTTCCTCGTCACTCATATCTTGCGCTCCAAGCCTTTCAACGACTCAGATGCTGTCACACTGTAGGATCTCTTGGTGCGAGAATGTATATATCCAACGTTCAACTCCTGACATCGATTTCATCTTCCATCTTCGCTTTCACAATGCTCTGAAGCTATCTGTCTGCTACGAAGCTGGATGCACTTGTTAGGATGCGATATGACTGCAGGGACCCACCGTGCCATCGTCTCCTGCTTTGTTCAATGCCTTTGTGAAGACAGTCGCATTTCCTTGTGCTAGATGTGTGTCACTACATCCAGCCCTCACATGGAGCCACAGGCCATCGTCACACCAAATTACCCACATACTGGGAATCTATGCATTCTCTGCTCTTAGTAGCTCCTCATCGCATCATGAAGCTCGAGTTGACCTTCGGTATTCCCCCAATACCTCCCTGTCCCCTTCAAGTCTGCAAAGTAAGAGCTTACTTAAGAAGCTCACGGACTTCGTGTCTACAATTAGGATCAGACAACATCTGTGCAAGACGAATCTTGGCTGTATAGCATCGACTATCAGCATTCTGATTTGTTTAAACGGTATGCACTGACCTACCATATTCAAAAGCTTGTTGTAAACCTCCTTCGCCATTGTTTTGTTGCCCTGCTCATCGTATGTCTTCGTCAAATTGTACAATATCGTCATCAAAGTGCCTTTCATGATGGCCACATCCAGCATTGATGCCTGAACGATGCCAGTTTCATACATTGCGCTCGTGGTATTGAGATGCCCCTCCAGATATTGCAGGACTCTAAGGTTGTTGATGAACTCTGGCTATTGGCGTTGCTTATCCGCAATGTTAGCGTGCATATCGATATCTTGTGCGATCCTATGCATAGAGTGGCCAATAACAGACAGGTGGCCACAGTTTTGCGTGTAAGTATCATCAGCAAGCGTGAGAGCCTTGCAGGCCTGGTCGAAGAGCTCGCATGCCTTCGCTTTTCCTGAGCCTGCTCTGCGAAAAACCTGCTCGTCTGCGAAGGACCTGCCCGGGCACGAGATTGTAGGATTTGCCCAATGACATGCAAGCAGAATGATGGCTTCGATAAGATGTTTCCCGCCGTGTCTCTGCTGCAGTAGACCATCCATTTGTATATAGCTCTGACAGATTCATCTGTGAAGTCACATGAGAAAGTCCCTCGTGAATATACTTTGCACCCACCATTCTTCAGCTGCATCTGAGCGAGTCCTAATCTAGCCAAGAGATTGGTCTGCTGCCCTTCTGCTGCCTTCATAAAATATTTATTGCTTCGATGCTTGCACTTGTGGCATGAGATACATGGCCTGCATGAATGTAAGCATCTGTCAAGATCATCTTGATATCCGTGAACTGGATTGTAGTTCCACCAATTTAAGCACCTAAGGCGAGAGCCGTTAGGGGGGACAAGTAACACATGTAGACAAATAATACCTTCTTGTACTGTCCCTCTGGTAAGATCAGTTGATAAAATGTATCTGCTGCAGCTGAGCTAGGTTGTTCGCTTTGAATGGCTGCTCAACGTAATGGATGCCGAGAATGAATCTCATTTTTGCGCACCTCCTTCTCATTTGCACTACTAGTATCATTGATGGCTTCCAGATATGACAGAGGTTATGCTGGCCACTCTGTTGGATTCTGAATTCAGACTGTTGAGTTAACATGTGCACCAATCGAAAAGAAACCACTGACTACTTTGATGCTCGGCTGTCAAGCCGCCTTCACCATATCCTTATGATCCATTTTCCGGCAGCAAGGGCCGATATTAATACATGGGTAAGGCAGACAGCGAAGACTGAGCTTGAAGTCAAGACTGCTCGGAACAACTTGAGTGATTGCGGTAACTGCACTTAATTATCCATCGTCCGCATGCTCATCTGCAAATACACCTTCGTAGAATAATAAGAACTGGGATCTATCATGGCAGAGTCAACATATCTCTCATCAGTATCAACAGCATAGTGCTGACATCCCCTGATTCTGCCGCTGCCTTCTTCCCCCGAGTTGAAGTCGCATCTGTGTAATATTCATCCGTCAGCTTCTCCGATGTGATGGCACCCTCTCCAGTTGAGCTTGTTATTTTCATCGTACAACTACCAACTATGACAGACTCACGGGTATCCTGCAGGATCAACTTTGGAGCCGTGCTCACACAAGCTATTTGGATGTTCACCGATAGATTGTAAATTGGCAGTAATGGTCGAGCTAGCTCCATTTGCGTTCAATCTTCGTACACAGTGAGAATGACAGGCTTAGCAGAAAGGCAAGACATGTACAATCTGGAGTGATCTGAGCAATCTTATATGCCTCATCAAGGACGCTGCTCTGAATTGCTCTGAGATTGGATAATCATAGCGGAGTGCATGGCTCCAGGATCAAAATGAACTGTTAATATATTCTTTGCAATGTTCTTCATGTGAAACCCGTGCATCAGTGCTAGATCCGCAATCGTGCTCAGTCTCTTGTCATTCTTGTATTCAGCTTTTCCCTTCTTCGTCTTCTTCATCTTCACTCGCAGGCTTATCTTCGTCACCCTCATTTGAAGAATGCTGAGGCTCGATAATTGCTCATTTCATGTGTCTGCATTCACGTTGTTCCGCAAGGCCTGCATAAACGATAATATGAGCAAACATCGAACGTACACCATGTTCTTCATCTGTCATATCTGGGCCACACGGATGCATCTTGAAAGTCTTTTCACTGCCCCAAAACTGCTCTTGTTCAGCTTCATGAGATCATCTAGCATCTGTGGTCTTGTGCTTTCTACTGAGAGTTTGTTGAAAGAACTAGCTTTGGTTTGCTCAGGCCTGGTCTGTTAAGGATCTTATGTGCCTTCTTAACTGTCTACTCAGGCTGCTGTGAGGTGAGCACTTTCAGCCCAGGTTAAGGTGGAAAAGACCAACTCAAAACTGAGGGATGATCCTCAGTTCGAGCTGTATTATATATTGTTATGGTAGGACCCTTAGTACCAGGTGTAAAAGATGTCATAGACTCAAAAAGGTGATCACCGTTCTTGCGTTCGTAGCGATCGATTGCGGCTGCAATCTCCTTATCCTGGGTCTTCAGTCATGATGCATCGTTGACCTCATGCTTCTTTGCTATGGCTATTGCTTTAGGCTCTAAGTGCAGGACAAATTCTGCCCATGCCAGTATTCGAACCCATGCACATGGTACTCTTGGAAGATGGTAGAGAAGAATCTGATGGGCTTGATCTGTCGAGACTTAGCCATCCAGCCACTTGAGCATGTTGGATCCAATGCACAGCTGTAGACTTTGTGATATTTTCTTATTCATAGGATTCATAATTATGGTGACGCATCGATTCACCAGAGAATTCATTCGCATTGAGTATTATCTCATGGTACCTTTAATGGTGCTCAAAGCAGCCAGGAACAAACTTACGTGAACCGAATATTGTCGACCCACCCTGATCCATGGCGACTCCGTCAAGCTGAAGGTCACGTCTCTCAGCTCGTTCAGAGTATTTAGCTGGTACATGCGAACATCAAGGACAGCATCAGAATGGTCCTAGAAGCATGGAAGCATACTCTAATGCACCTATGTAACCAGAATGAAACCCGTGCATTTCCATACGCCTCTATGTCAACCTAGCCTCACTGCCCACACAGTCATCTCTGCATCCTCTGATGGCACCGTCAGAGCGTGAAACCCCCATTCACAATGCACTGCAGAGCCTAGCACGATTGGGATACATGCTGACTATGTGCACTGTCTCACTTATAGGTCTGCTCCCTCACCATTCCCGCAGATTCACTTGCTTATGCATTCGCAGCCGTGAACAACACTGGATTGCATCCAGTTCCTTTGACTGCATGATCAAACTCTGGGACCTTGCTGGGGCAAGTACGGGCAGCCCGCTTACAACCTTAAGCCCACCAGACATGTCAGATTCCAAGTTGTCTGTATATGCAATCAAGAGAGGAGGTGAACGATGATGACGTGCGGATGAGTATGGTGGACGCGGAAGAGATCACATCAGCTCGAAGAGACCCTGATGTCGTACAGCTTGCAGAGGCACTAGGGGAGTGGCTCATAAGCTATCTTGAGTAGATCCCTCTCATCTGTTGCCAGAGCTTGTATACTCATCGTTCCATAGAGAATGTTTCGTCCGGCTAGATAAAGGCCTGCTATGGGATATCTGGTATACCGGGCTGACGTCTTTCCTGGCCGAGGTGCATTCGATGAGCCATGTTCTTTCCTGCTTGCTTGCTGACAGAAATTCCACTCTTTTGCTGTGTGCACAGCTTATCAACCCTGTCCCTCGAGTGACAATCCTCTCGGCTCTCATGCATCCTTACAATTTTGCGTGTGCTCACAGAGACCTTATCAGTGCTGCCCAAAATGCTCCTCCTGCCAATGGCGCTCCTAACATAAAGCCCATCTACGACCACGACACTTCTGAAGAAGTGTACAGTGATGAAATGGAGCAGGTGCCTGCACTTTGGCAGCTTCCCGACACGACGATTCTCTTCCAACGCTATCTTGAGGCAGGGTGGCTCATCAATGCATACAATTGGTACCAGGCATTTGCACAGGTCCTAGATAACCAGAAGCACGAGTGGGCACGCTGGTGAGAATGGGTGCTCAAACTTGCGCTGGTGCACTTATGTTTGTGATGACAATGCCGTGGGAGATCGCCATCCAGCTGGTGGTGTGTGGGCCTGGTGAAAGCGAGGGAGGTGCATGCCCTTATCCTGTTACCTTCCTAGTCTCCGGTCTGATTCTGCATTCCATTTTCAGCAAAAGTAATCCTGCTTATGGGTGTGACAGTGTCTGCGCTGTCGACAGGGATGCTTATACTGCGTTGTGGAGCTAAGTCACCTTTTCCGAGCTCGTTCCTCCCTTCATCTCCGGTTGCGACTTCGAGTGCATATATGTGCACGCGATCGATGTCTGCGACTTTTCTGTCTTCATCTGTTCCCTCACCAGCTCCATCGTCTTCCGGTTCCTCCTCTTCCTCGCCTTCAACTGCAATGTATGCTTTCTCTGGTGCCACCAGCCAGACCTCAACCTCTATGTATGATAAGCTCATCCCACTGTGCACGCACCCATGCAAGATCCTCATCTACTCTGCAGATGGGTACACTGAATCTTTGGTCCTCACGCTGACGCTTCTGATGGTGCTTCACCAGATCTCGCTACCCGAGGCGTAGCTTACGATGCAGAATGAGAAGCAGCAGTCATTCTTCATGTATCCGGCAGATCTGCCAGTGCTCAAGAGGATTGAGGTGCAGATGGAGCACGAGAGAGGGATGGAGAGGAAGGGGCGGGATGTCGTTCTGGGGTCTCAACACGAGAAGCAAGTCGACAGCCCCACTGAAATTGATCAAGCTTCTGAAAGTGGCAACATGACTGACCACCTGGCAGCTACTCAGAAGTCGGTCTCATTTGCCATACCACCAACTCCCCGGGGACTGTTGATGGCCGTGACTGTTCAGTCGTTGAGGAGCCAGTCGGAGAGTGACAAGGATTTGATTGTTCACAGAATTGTGGGGATTGGCCGGCCGCATGCAAGCACGATGCCGAACCCATCTGCGCTGTTGTCGATTCATGACCATCAGTTGTGGTTCAACGACCCGAGGTTCGATGAGAGCTTCCCGAGTCAGGTGTTACCATTTTTGCACCTTTTGAAAGTCTGAGTCTTTTATAGGAACCATGCTATGAACGCATACATGCTGAATGCACTCAGGATCATGCACGTCATCACTGTTTCTGAGTGTGCACTTATACCACTGCCTAACCTGGAGGCGTCCGCCTCAGAATTGTACATGTCCTGTGCCTAGCTGGCGTGAACCTGAATGCACAGTTTGTCCTTGGCAATAACCCACATGGACATGGTTCACTCTTCATTGAGGAGCGTGAGGGCCGGTACAAGGTGCTCGACATACAGGGCATGTCAGTTCATCCACTCAAGTCATATCTAGTCGGCTATGCCATCGTAATGAACATGAACGTGATGCAAACCCCCATCGTTGACCTCGTTCTGAGACAGAGTGCGGCCATAATAGCATGTGTATGCCTTTCCTTGCTCCTCTCTCGGTCATATCGTGTCTAATGTCACTCTCAGAACAATATGATGTGATGCTCCCTCAGTGCAGTAATGGTTTTGGTCATCAACCCCATCCTCAATGCCATGGGGCCCAGATGGACATATGTACTTCTTCTGGGCATCTGTATCATCTTGTTGTCTATCATGATCTTCACGTACCACATTGGCCCTCGTTGGTGAGCACGTTGTGGAGCATGGCATCAGGCTCATGATGCAGCCACGGCATCATAACCTTTGACTATATACCATCAAGAAATGGCCAAACATTCACAGCTTTTGTATGTCCTGCTCATGACAGTCCTCAGAAGTCTCCAACATCATCGCCTCATTCTATACAAGTTTTCCATGTAGAGCTCTCCACCAGTATACTTGCGATTCACTTGGTACATTTACCATATGACTGTAGATTGGATGTATACTAGGTACCACATAAACGGAACATCAAGCAGCTGGAGACCAACATAAATTAATGGCTATTCGCTAAATCATCCACCTTGCCCATGCCTCATCAAGATTCGGGATCATGTTGCGGTGGATATGGGTGTAGACTGAAGGGGAACAGATGAGAAGGATCGAGGATAGAGTAGTGGACGCCCTCCACGAACTCAGGTTCAGCTGCCGCTGATCAAAAGTGAAGGGCACCTCGGGAATCGTTGGATCACTCAACATGCTTGTCGATGTGCCTGCAGTCACAATGTCCATCATATGGCCCTGCATCACCGCTTCGTTGAGGTTCTGGTGTGGCCACCACTGATATCCAGGATAGAATGAGGTTGATGCTTCTATTCCTTGCAGATCGAGGCCCAGCGTGCAAATCATCAGGTGCTGGTTGAAATGCTCATCGAATCTTGTGGCAGCCTGCATCACCCCAGGTTCAGTGTATGTAGCATGTCTGTCAGATGATTCTCACTCAAGGACGTCCGAGTTCCTTTCTGCACCCAACGCTTCTTCTGCTGAATGTTTGTGTCGCAGGGGTTGCTGGTTCTGCTGATTTTGCATGGGTGGCACCATTTGACCTTTCCTCACTTTCACGCCTTCCAGCAATATGCGCACTCGAGTTGCACTAGGCCAGACAGTCTGGCAGACCAAAGATCAGGTCGATCGTTATCATTCCAGGTGGACTTTCATACCTCTAGCTTCTCAAGCGCCGAGATGCATTGTTTCAAGCCGATGATAGCTTGCGGGTTCTGTGGATGTCTGCTTACTGTCAGTGATGTCAGCAAGTCACTTGGTCCTGCTGGCAGTACACTCACATGTGATAACATGCATGATACTGTAACGCACAACAACTCAGTAAGTAAAGATGCATAGACACAATGCAGCTTATCCAGCGCTCTGCAAATATATGGACAAGAACAGTGGAGACGTGCTCAAGGCATACTTTTCATCATAAATGGTGACTGAGACAAGATGTCAGCATTGATAGAATTTTTTCGTCCAGGTGCCTCATCTATTGAGCTGATGTGAGAGGCAGCGCTCTGGCAAATATCGAACGATTTGAGTGGAAGATGGTCAGACTGAGGATTGCCCTCCCCGTTGTCATCCGATCACCTTCAGAAGCTTAGTGCATGGGAAGTGAGGTGCAGCATATGTTATTCGACTCACCCATTTGCATGCAGAATACTGCCAAAATTTGGCACGTCGTCAGCATTCTCCTTGTATAATGCCAGCATGTCACTACTCACAATGCATGGTGAAGCAAGAGCACTGCCGCACAGTACTCAACATGCAGGATAAGTATATGTGGCAATGGTATGCTGAGACTGCCTGTTGTCGAATATTGCAGATGCTCAGATCGAGGAGGTTCAGAGGAGGTTCGGAGGCCAAAAAACAGAGAGAAGAGATGCAAGGCAACGAGGCAGTAAGCGCACTGTTCCGAAGATCTGTGGCTGAATATTCCTTCTCCGAGCCTGCCATAATTGAGCTCTGTTTGGTCAGTTGCGATCTGCGACAGGGTCAGGGTATGCCACATGCTGTTCGGTGAGGAATGGAAGAGCAGTGCAGGACGCTTCATAGCCTCTGAACCCGACTTATCTGCACCAGCAGGAAACAGAGTAGCTTATGGGGCTGAATGACGATATACAGCACCTCGATCAGAATCCATCACGTCCACGTGCATGGAAATGCAGCAGCTACAGTATGCAGGCTGAGGAGGAAGCCTCTGCCAGTGAATGAGCCACATCAAGCTGTGCATTACAAGTGTTAGTGGCAGAGCTTGCCCTGCTGTTGGGCCACAATGGACGTCATCCAGTATTGGCAGGTGCTTAACTGTTTTAAAAAGGCTTCGAGCATGAGGTCACCCAGTCTCCTCATCCACGTTGGCTACATGAAGTGGCATACTCCCATCATCATGCTTCAGCGGCTCTCTTGCATTGAGACTGAGTGCGGCCGGCGAAGACGGAGCTGCGGCTGATTTGCTGCAGCCCATCTCAATTCACAGGCAGTGCATGATCTCGGACTCACATGTGGGCCTCGATATCGCTGATCGTGTGCGTGCGAGGTCTCGAGAAGGATCACCTGGACTGGGAGTGGTCGGGTTCGCCATCGAGGCCTTGGTAGGCCATGGTTGCTCATTGGATGGCAAGAGGCTAGGTGCAGTCTGCCTCTTTCCCTCTCTTTCCCCTCCTGCAAGCGATGCTTAGACTCAGGTCCTCATTCTCCCTGCCCTTCACCACCCTCAGTCTCTCCCCTCCGCACTCCACCTTCCACTCGTCCCACAAGCGACCTAGAGGGCTCTGGAAAGGTCACCATGAGCCTACACCCAATTTAGTACTTCCTCTCCATGCCTTTTCCCCGGCTTCCCTCTCCCATGCTCGTGCTGCCAGTGTCCTCGATGACGATGACCACTATTTCTCCTGCTCAAGCTTCTCCAAGCATCGTCACTGCATAGGCTACTTAGACTCAGTCATCGATCTCGACCTCCCTTCTCCCTTTGCTAGCAGTGTTTCCGGCTCCCGCACTCCCTTCTCTGACCACCACACTAACTATGCGCCTGTCCACCTGCTCATCTGCCATGTAGCCACCATCACCTCGATCCTCAACAGCATGGAAGCCCTTTTTTCCTCAAAGGGCAAGCAGCCCACCACCACAGATTACGATGACTGGCAACTTTAAGGAGCTTTTTGCACGGGCCCTCAATCGATATGCCAGTGAGCTCCTTGATTGTCTCTATGCGTGTTTGTCTAAACTCCACCCTTCTCAGCTGACAATATCTCAGAGGTCCTACCACTCCTTCGTGCCATCATTCATGAGTGCCATCACTTCCTCAACATTCACCCCGATTCCTCTGTTGTGTTCGCTGACCTGCCCGTATGGTGCAATACTCGCTCCCCTGAAACTATGATGCCCACTAATGAGCATCTCTCTCATGGCTGGGGCTCCGACTTTGACTCGACCATGGACTTTCCGGAGCATCGCTCTCTGTATGTTTGCCCTCTTCCCATCACCCATGAGTGCTCACCCATTCACAGCACACCAGAGCTCCCCACAACCTTCCACGCCATGTTTAGCATGGCACTCTACCACATGGCCTTGCTCATCCAATCCGATAGATGCCTCGCTCTCCCGGGTGGGCCTAATGAGCTGTACGACTGGTGGCTCACCGCACTTGATGTCTTCGAAACTGGCGAGAACCTCCCAAGCCAGACCGGCGGACTCGCAGTGACCTCCACCTTCTCAGACGATGCTGAGGAGTGGTGCATGGTGATCGCCTAGGGGCGCATGCTCATCAGTCTTGCCGATGCAAAGGTCGTGCACACAAGGGCGCTTGCTCAGCAGGGCGCACCCGTGGATGAGTACTGCTACATCTCACCACATCGCCATTCCCAATGAGTGAGCCAAATTGGCTGCTTAACTCACCATTTGCCATGATCGCTGCCGCGTGCCCACTGGTGTCGTGGCGGATGAGCCTCTATTCAGCCAGCGCACATGAAGTGATGACGCTTGCAATGGACCAGTTCTCATGCAGAATCTTTCATGTGCCACATTTGCACTGTCGACACTCGCAAAACCCACATGGATACAGCCCAGCATTGCCGGCCATGCCCCAGCAGTTGTTCTCTCCAAGCCTGCATCTATCTGCGCACCGGATGAGCACTCCGCCAGTTTGGTGACATGTCAGCATCATTCTTGTGCCCGTGGGAGCTGTTCAACATCACGACAGATGTGCTAGGTGTAGCGGAGCAGCTGGAGGACAGAATGCAGCATGCGTACTGGGCACAATGGGCTGAGTTGGTACTGACGCAGATGAAGATGGAGGCAGACATGGAGCATTGGCATGCCTCTCTGGCAGCGGCACGCAGATGGTGTTGGCTCATGATGGGTGATGCGATTGTTGAGCAGCTCGAGGAGGTGCTGGGCCACAGAGACGAAGGCGTGCTGCATAGCGAGGAAGCAAAGAAAGCGAGGGAGGATCTGGTCAAGGCAGTGAATTTGTTCGTGCACGTGAAGGATGCAGAGGCCAAGGCTGGGATCGACTCAATTGCACTAAAGCAAGGTGAGAGGAAGAGCAACGTGAAGGAACTGTTGGCAGAGGTGTTTCTGTCACGCGCGAACTTGGAGGTGGGCGAAGAGAGGTGGGAAGCACTGTGTGCAAGGGCAGCATGTGAGCTCTGCGAAGCAGAGAGCATGGTGACCTTGTCCTCGAGAGAGGAATGGAAAGTGCAACAGCAAGGGGAGGTGGATGGGGATGTGAATGACAAGATTGATTTGAGTCGAGGCAGGTGGGGATGGTTGCTGGCTTTCTTGCAGCATGAATGAGCATTCCATGAGTCATACGAAGATCATCTGGACGTCAGCCATGAACTCGATACTGCCTCTGTTCCCCAGTGCAAGCACATTCGTGCTCATTGAATGAATCATATTCCACCTCAGGCGCTACATCGCACACACAACGTGTCAGTGGTGCAGTCTCATGTGGCCAATCAGCACTATCCTGAGCTCATCCGTGTCTGATTATGCATCATGCAATGTTGCTAGCTATGCGCAGGGTTGCCGCATGCAAGTTGAAGTCACAGAATCTAAGAAAGCTGCATTAATTGCCTATCCTATACATACTCTTCATCACAGATGGTCAGACTGGTACGTCCAGAAAGCTTGAGCTTGACCATATTCACATCGCACTGCCCTTCCAAATTCTCGCCGAGAGCGCCTCAGTCCTCTCTTCGCCCCCGAAGCCACCTGCACACCAATCAAACCTTCAGCCCAGAACTCAGAACCCAGAACCAGCTATTGACCACAACCTCGCCAAAACACACTGAAAACCCCCCTGAAACCTGCGTATCACAGGCTTTATTCACTGGTGCGCTGCGACTCAGACTCGGCATGGGCGAATCACTATTGTCCGCTCCAGACATATTATTAGCATTAAAATATTCAGTCGATGTGCCACTCTCAAAAGATGAAAACGGGGCATACCCATTGCCCATACACTGTGATGCATCGAAAACATCCATGAGTACAGCAGACTAGTGGAAAGAAGGTGACCTACCATGTGCAGTTTTTGTGAAAGTGGGTTTCACGGAGATGCAGCTTCGAGTATGTTCTTGGAAACAAGACTACAATACATGATTGTCCCGGTCCATACTGGCTTGGCCTTTCCAGCAGCTTAGAAGCCTTGGCATCATCTCCAGCTTGTTTGGCTTATTCAGCAAGTGAATGATACAGCACATCACGAATGATTGATTTGATGCCATCGCAGCCAAGGACATCGCAGGTCCCAGGACAGCCATCAGCAAATTGTAGACCTATCTCGCCAGAGTCCTTTGTGGTGTAACTCATCAGTCGCTTGGACAAATGCAGCTTGCATGAGTCCGGAACATGCTTCTTGAGGACTTTATGAAAGTGTGCTCTGTGATACGTGACAAATGAACCTAAAACGATCAAAGCGTGAGCGCGCAACCGAGGCAGTGAGTGGTTAGACTTTGCTTTCGATCTCTGCCATGAAAATGCCCTGCGGCTGATCTGCCTTCTGTATATCAAGGGATGTGCTGTGCAAAAGTCTAGAGCATCGAGTCTTGGGCACCCATTAGTGCACGCACGAGCTATCTGCCCATCGTTCATGTGTGTGATGGAAAGAAAATCTTCGTCCAGTCTGAGCTCTTTCAGGATCTTCCACACTCTTGGCCATACATCTATTCCAGCGCCGACCTCAGAAAGCATGGCAGTCAACTCGTAGATGTCCACAGACACATTAGCGCATGACTTGTGGAATGAGAGTGCGAAGCAGAGTCCTTCAATTCCAGCACCGCTGTGATAGAAAAGTTCAGCAGCAGTCAATCCGCTGAATCTATCATGACTTACATGATCACAACCTTGAAGTTGGGCTCAACCATGTCTCTCGAGGAGCTGGATCACTTTGATGTAAGTTCTCATATATCATATACTGATCCTACAAGTGATCGACAATGTCTGCTTCAAGGTGACTGATGGCAACAGCCGCTGACATGGCATTTCTGCTTGCTGAATCAAAGTTGCCACATTTGTCAGTCAGCGCAGATAAATAGAAGATGTGTTGATGCTGGGACAGTGGAGGGAGATTGTTTCAAGCTATCCCAAAGTCTTTCTAGAAATAGTACACGTGGATGGCACAGCCGGAGACTAGTGAGATGGCTGAGATGGCCACGATAATCAGGGCCTAAGGATCATCTTCGTTGTTTGCATGCGAGTTGATGTCCAATGGACGTTATCTGTCTTTAATTCAAAGCGGTTGTTAGCATACAAATAGAGGGCGGATGAAGCAATCGTTCAGATGCCCCACCTACATCGTGGCTACTGCAGTTAAGAAGCTTTGCTGTGGCACACAGTCTTAGTGTTTTGGCACTGTATCTCCGCATGACAAGTCCTGCTGATATGGAAGCAAAGAAGCCATGGAGAATGCAGTAAAAGTCTCAATACATGACTCCAGCACGCCACACATTGTAGTGCATGGTCATGAGGGAAGTGCAGTACTAGCGCAATGTCCAACTGCATTTTAGTTTGTCATCACATATCCGATTTCACAGGGCCAACAGATCAACTTCAGTGCGTACATATCTGAACCTGCGTCAGAAGGCACACCGTACAATAGATCCTGGATGCGCAAGTGCAGAAAGGAAGTTTCATCGAGGCCTTCTCTGTATTCGAGTCCCATATGCAGGATCTGTTGAATGTACGCTGACTCTTGCAACCTATCATTTTCTTCTCTTTGACGATGATGTTTTTTGCATTTATATCAGTGTGTTGGCAATATCTCTGCATGGGAGATTCATGTCCTTCCACTGTTGCCCACATATGTGGGTCAATCGCATTGCACTTTTGGGCGATGCGGTCAGTATCATCCTCATCTATTTGTAAGCGGTTAGCATTCATGCCGATGCAACTGTGGATATATAGACACATGTGATGACTCCCTTCCAAGGTTCAGGAGCTGTGCAAGCAATTGAGGTAAGCAGTCGCACCTGCATATTGTGTACTTTACTGACTCTCCGAACAAGAATGGCTTCATCCTGGCCACGTTATTCGCGCATCCTCGCATCATGCATGAAACGCTCCCGCAAGCGCTGCAGGTTTATGACCAGATCCAGCGTTCTTTTTTGCAATGAATGGTGACAAATCCGTGAGTGGCAGGGCAGATATACGACCTGCAGGGTGAAGGAACAGAGAAGCTGACATGGAAGGAAAGCATCACTGGTGGCGTGTCCAAGGCGCAGTTGGAGTCGATGAAAAAAACTCTGCAAAGCATGTTTGAGTGGTTGAAGGACAGCAGCGCAATATCTAATCGGGATAGAGCTCTGGAGACATTGGAGGTTGCAGCTTGAAGTGGAAATGAGGCCAATCTGTCCTGACGGGAGTATAAAAGATGGGCCCGCAAAGTATAGAAGCTGTCTATGGTGTCGATAACAGAGTGTAGCTACGAATGGATTCAGGTAGTGGACGTGGGCATCTTCAATCGCAATCGAGTCAATATCCCATGATATACAAACACTTGTATTGGTACCACTGTCAAGCGAGCTATGACGGGATTTTCAATGCATGGTTACCGTGGTGATTAGACGGTACTAGTGATCAATACTTACACCAATTCCGGTTTGTACCCTGCGAACTAGTAATAGAGAGGCTCCTTAGCATTGTCCATTGCCACATTTTCTATTTATCTTCGCTCGTATCTCTCTCCCTTGTCGTGTAGGATGAGAGATGAAATGGTTCTGGCCAATGCCCTCTTGGAGCCCCAGCAGATCACGAGCCTGCAGTCCTGGGCCACTGGCATAGTACTTACTCCCAACTTTTTAGCAATCGAGAATGTTCACCTCAACTGTGAGGTCTACCTGATGTAGCTTGAGCTATATATTATCTGAACTCATTGCTGCTGAACGTACAACATAAGCTGCGCTTGATTGCTACTTGATCACGCTTGTTCACCTCCATTTTTTAATTTCATGCCTCACAGAGCCCGGATTCACTGTGTCTCGCTACGCTCATCTTTGGTTCACCTCCCGGTCTCTATCTATGGTCTGCTATTGGAATGGCAGATAGTAGGTTTGTGGCAGGCACTCGTATCCATAGCTTGTATGGCTCATTCATCTGCAGCAGCCGCAGAACCTTGCAGTCCAGTTGTCTTTGGTCTCGTCAAGCAGATGATCACCCAGTGATGAGAGCTGCAAGGTGGGGGACTATGTCAGCTGGACTGGCATGGCCGCTGCATCTTCCTATGCCCATTACCAGTCTGGAGGGTCTGGGGAAGAAGGGGTTGGAAACCATTAAGATCGACCCTCAGTATGCTGAGACGTGGTGAGTAATGATGTACAGTATCTTCTAGAGACCTTCTTATAACGAGTTGTTGTGTAGGTGGAGATTGCTCTTTTACATGACCTTCATTCTGCAATGTCTATGACTGTGGAAGCAGTGATTTCGGATGACTGGGAGATCATCATAAGTGCTGCTCATCTGATGACATTATTATTATCCATTCACTCCATGCTGAATATATTAAGGAATACATGCTTCGCACGTAAAGGAACTTCTTCTCTTCCAGGTCAGAGTCGCCGTAGTAGGCAGAGATTGATGTCTGGGTTGTGGGTCGCACCAGAGTCAAGCTGAAAGTCGGTCAGTGTATTGGGGTAGTCCATGAAGGCAACACGAATGCTGACATAACTGCAGTATCTCTCGAGCTGCATGGAAGAGCGGTGCTGTTAGTGACAAACACTGAAGTTAGCATAGCACCAAGCCCCATACGAAGTCATCGGTGTGTACAACGCGCACCTTGAAGTCATCCACGATACCATCTCGTCGCACGCGATCAAAGGGACTGCGAATGGAATCGACCACACATCCGCGCAAGACGACTCAGAGCCTGTAGAGTACACCATCCTCAGACTGACTGATGAGGAACAGGCACATGTACTCTCAAGGGCAGAGGAGTCTGCGTTCCAGAAGCGGATGAGTGGTGCTGTTGAGACAGATTCGAGCGTGTGCTGATTGGATTGTGTGTGATAGTTGCAACAAATATTGAGCAAGCCTGCCATGATGAAAACTGCATCAGGCGGACCGAGAGGGGATGTCGGCAGGCTGGTGGGCTCGATTTCTGGCTGCTGCTTGTGCAAGTGCTAAATGTTGTCTTCGTGTCACCACGTAGAAATGTGAGGTCACAGAGGACCACCTGCGCAGGGTGTTCAAGATGACTTGGCCATCTGTTCCCCCCAGAGAAACATGTACGGCTGGAATGGATGTGCGTACTATTTGCTGCAGGATCAGTTACAACTGATCATGATATGCGAAAATCATTAGGTATCGTATGTTCATCTCAGATCGGAGTGGCGAGATGCCTCTTCCTCCGGAAGGGACAGATGTAGGAAGCAGGATGACATATATGTAGGCAATGGCTTGGTGAGTATTTTTGCAAGATTTCCTATGAATTCTAGTATCAATCCCGACCTGAATTATGTCCCAGGACATTACTAGCGATCAGTCCACAATCCATAAGCAATGAGCAAATTGTATCTCGAAGTCACATTATCAACTACACAAATGTACAAGTAACAACTATGACAGCATTGAGAGGTACGCTACAAAAGCAAGGCAATTTACAGTGACATTATAAGGTAAGAAAGTAGTGGGGGTCAGTGTCTGAAGCACTCAGCAGGCGTATCCATCATCACTTGTTTCCGCTCGTGGAGTGCTCCACGGGGCACCTTCAGCCCTCATAAAAAAGAAGACATATGTGCACGGGGTAGCAAAAGCTTAAGTTGTAGGTGTAGAGGGCATTGTTCATGCTCAACGTGTAGATGAGATTGTTCTGCATGCAGGAGAGGCAGAGGGAGAAGTTGTCCACGTCGTTGTTCACTGCGAGCACAGCATAGTCCTCCGATTCATCCTGGAGTGGGTCTGGGATCAGTGTTCGGTGTGATTAGAGGTATGCTAGAGGTGCTACTCACCACTCCGCAGTAGATCTCAGTGACCGTGGGGTAGCTCTCGGCGACAGTGATGGTGAATTGGATCTCTTTGCCCTCGTTGATGGCAAAGTCGTATGCTCCGAGGCCATTAGTTCTCACTGGAGTTGGGTTGGGGGTAGAGCCCACCATCTGTCAATGTAAAGTACGGCCACTGATTTGAGCCCCATGACTCGTATGCCTGTGAAAAAGCATCGATGAGACATGCCCGCATTATGCAGAGTAAGCGGTACTACTCACCGAGATGACCCATTCATTCGCCAGAGGCCTAGTACCTGGCAGGCCCCATGTGAGCACGAGCGGCACACTGATATCATTTGCGTTGGGCTGTGTGAGGTTGTATGCCACGAGCGTGAACCTGTGTGACAGCAAGGCAGTGGAGCCATCGGGTAGGTCAACACAAGACGTGCTGGTGTTCTAGCAGGACTGCAGGGTGGAAAGGGCGAGCGAGGTGCCAGCAAGGAGGGCTGTGGTGAGGGACAATGCATATGCGAACGTTATGATTGTTAATTAGACATTAAACAGGGGGTATTGAGATCTGTGTTTAAGTGGAGAGGGTGACGTGGATAGAGTGTCGTGAGTGGCGGCTTCTGGAAGGACGGGGTGCGGGTATTTATGCGATGCGCAACTTGGGCAGGTCCAGATTGGCTGCCCTCAGCAAGGTACTAAAAGCGTTGCATTGTGATTGTGCATGCCCCCACGGTGTTGGGCCCTAGGTTGTGGTGGTGGGGGTTCAGCAAAGATGAGGCATCACAATCAAAATCAGTCCATCGAGAGCCTGTTTCATTGTGCTTGGCAAAGACGATGGAGGCCTGATTGGCCTGCATGTGTACATGGTGGGGAGGCAGCCCAGCTGGTGCCCAGAGCAGGGAATGCAGCCCACACCCTGGATGGGCATGCTGTGTCGGCGCTGAAATGCTGCTCGTCATGGTCAGTTGTGTGCTATTGAGAGCTAGTGCTTGAGCTGCAGCAACATGAAATGAAAGATGCTCCATAAGTTGTGCAGCAAATGCTGCATGTGGCAGTTCCACAAGATGGCAGCTAGGATCACGGCGTGATGTGTGTGAGAGATGGTAGTGGGTTGGTGGTGCTGAAACGCAGTTTCACATTATTAACTTTGACCACAACTTGGCCTTCATATCATAATCTTATTAGTCATGATAGTGAGATGATAAGATATCTTGAAACAAGCTGGGGAACCTGCACAGCTCCAGGAATCCTCCTTTAACGAGGCACTGTCGAGGACTTGCAGAGGCAAAGACTGTGACCGGATCAGTGACTTCGATCGTTTATGATCTGCCTAATGTCGCACAATCACATGGCATGTCACGGAGCGCGCAACGCAGCCACTCATGTCAATGATCGCAGAAGTGATGGTATCCAGAGGAATAAAGTTGATGCCCTATTTGCGTACAACATCAGCTCTTAGCAACAAAATGCTGGGATACCGAGCTTCGTAGGAAACGCACCTTGTGGTCGTCGGGGAAGCATCTGAGCTTCGGCGCACTTTGCACCAATGAGGGGTACCACTCGTGCATGTTCCATGCACCATCCAGGCCCTGGCCCTCATGCACAACCAACGGGTCCAACACTATCTTCTTGCCAGCGGCATAAAGGATCTGTTCAATTCTGCATAGCCAGTGCCCAACGCCCAGTCAGGCAGGCTTGGCTCCTCAGCAATTGCAAATTGGGAGCATCTAATGTGGGAGGATGTTGCGTTTAGAACAGTAATGCAGTCCCAGATATTAGTATGTACTTTGGAAGACGCCTATAGAACTTGTGAACAATACCTGGGGAGGCTCAGGCAAAGGCGAAGAGAGGCGAAGTTGACAAAACTGCGTACTCTGGCTATACTCAACTCGAATGATGACAGATTGATCACGAAATTGACACGCCACAGTAAACAAGAAAGAATACGGTCAATGAGCATGTAATTATGATGCTGGCGACCGTCAGATACTACCGTTGTGGATGACGTGGGTCACAGTGCAGTGAAGCTATAATTTGGCAGAGTCAGTATATGCTGTGCATAAACACAAAGATAAATGCACACCTCATTGTATGTTTCTTCCAGCAAACCCCAGTGAAGCTGTGCCAGCTCACCCTGAAGAAGTACAACCTTTGGTGTGTTGACGATGCTCACATCAAGGCTGCGGTCAGCCAAGGCAGCCTTCTACCTCTTGAAAAGAGGAATTTGGTTCCTTGCAGGCCTGTTGAATGCATAGATGATGGCGACCTCGAGATTGCAGCCATCTGTGACAGGAGATGGCAGCCCAGACTGCCAATGGTTCCGGTCATGAAGACAACATCTTCATGCGACCTCGTGCCAAGCGCAACCTCGTTTCGCTTGTGAGCCAGGAAGTCAGATGTATACTTGGCCATCATTGCATGCATGGCGTTAATATGTGACTGGAGAATCCACTTTCTTTCCGTCGACCGTGCCGAGTGCGAGGCTGGAGATGAACGACGCGAGAGTCGAGACGTTGGGTAGTCGTAGACGAAGTTGCTGACAATCTTGCGGGTGTCGATCTTTGCTGTCTCCTGCAAGCCGTGGAGGACAGCATTGCAGATGTACATTGCCTGCAAGCTGACAGCATAGAGATCACGTCAAGAAGTGTTCTATAGAGAGATATAGGAAGGATCATACCTGTCGCATCCATGCTGGAACAAGTCATCATTACCGATTACTTTATGGGTCATGATCTTGCCCACAATAGCTCACATGAACCATGCAGCTGAGTCCAGATACCACTTCTCTGGAGGAGGGACATTCAATTGCACACTCTTCTTGACCAAATCATAGATGTCGTTGATCTCCTGGCCGTACTCCTTCAAGATGACTCCGCGGTGCATGGTGTCCTTGGCTGTGTATGAGAACAGCTTGGAAGGCTTTGACACCATGATCGTCTGCGAGCAGACATGAAGTTAACATTATCCTGAAGGAGAAAGCTGATTCCGCTCACCTCCTTGAACAATCTCGAATGCTGCAGTGCAAACTCAATTATCTTCTCGACAGTCTGCCTATGTCAAAGACACATCAGGGCAAATGTGAATGATGACGTTGAAGTCCCAGATGTATTAAACCTTGTTCCTGAACTCGGTGAGCTTCTTCTCGTCTGACAGGTCAAACTGGTACTCCCGCTTGGGATCTACAAGAATACCGGCCTGGAACCGTCCACGACCGAAGATGATCGATGTATGCACATAGGGGTCTTGGTTCATCATTGCCTCTGTGTATGTTCTGTGGCCATCAGCCTATGAGAATGATCAGCACACATACCAAGCAGGCCCAGATTTGTCGGGAGGAAGAATATTAGTGACTGCTCAGTTGGCTGGATTTGGCTAAGATGAAACTGACCTTCTCTCCTGTGCTGTGCATGATCTGGTCATCCATACAGCTGTGGATCTTCCAGAATCCTGGCTTCATCGGGTGGCTGATCACAAGATCAGATGTCACATAAGAGTGTATGCCATTGGCATCAGCGTTCAAAACGACCAGGTGAAGGGCATCCTTGGTCTGCAATCCAGGGTTTTCAGTCCTCACCAGTCAGAGTCAAACATCACGGCACAAGATGCACCATGAGAATGAACTCGTACGAGCCATCATCCTGCAGGATCATGTGTGCCTTGGTGCAGTCCAGGAACTGGAAGTACTCCCAATCCATGCCAATTCGGTGAGCAAGATGACCATCAGCGGGCCGCCCTCAGTTCTAACAAGTTACTTTATTAGCACACGAGCCAGATAAAAGATGACAGACTCTCACAATCTGTAGAGGTTGAAAATAGTGATGCCCTCCGATGCCAAAAAGTTGCCCACCTCTTTGCTGGGAGGTCCGCCACCACATATCTGGTCATTCAATTATCAGCGTGCACGAGCCAAAACACTTATAGGGTACTCACGAGGCCCTGACATGTCTTAAAATAGTCTACGTAGTCTGGGACGCTAGACCACATCTGTTAAGAAAACAGTTCATTTGTGTCACAGCCAATGTGCAGGTAAATCCTTACCTCGACCACTGCTGAAACAGCAGCGATGCTGTCACATTTAGTTGCCTTGATAGCTTGAATCATCACATCTGGTGACAGCACAGTAGGAGGTGACTTAGGCTTGAAGAATGTGCATCTGTGATACCTGCCACAGGCTGTAGGGAATAGCAAGTTGTAGGGAATAGCAAGTTATATACCGGATGAGTGCAAAATCAATGCAGGAGCATTTGCACCCTTGAACTGATAGGAATGTCAACAATGGCCGTGGACAACAGCAAGTAAAGCTCTTCGAATAGTGGCAGGGATGAGGTGTTCAGTGCAATTGACGAAGGGTATTCTGTCTTGAGAAGGTTCCTCACCTTATCGGCGAGTTCCTCCATGGACGGTTCCAGCCTGATGAATAGGTGTTTAACTCCCACCTGGCTGATCAGGTGGATGATGGCAGCTGGTGAATTACATGAGGAGATGAGAAAGGCAGCGTAGCCTGCACACATGATGCTGATCACCATCGTGAAGTATGGAATGCCATCTGAGGGCAGGTCACTTGAGCCGCTAGTTCCGAACATAAAAGTGCAAGGAATATCTTACCTAACATAGCAAGAATTGCCACGGCTGGAGTTTCATGTATCCCAGGCTGTGAGCCAAGGCAGCTCCTGACAAGCTTTGTGCCTGTATGAACACCGCACACCACTTCGTGTCAGGTGATGTTTCTAGTTTCACCATTATTGTCGGTGAATGTAAAGACGCGGGGGAACGGAGAGTTCTGCGCCTGCCAGTCAAAAAGCTCAGGGACAGTCAATGAGCCCTTTAGAGGGGGGAGCTTGAAGGTCGTGCTTGAGTGGCCATAAATCTGAGGGCAGGGAGGGAGTACGGGATGTGTGAGGACAGTCATGGCTGTGGAGCCAAGGGTGAAGACGAGATAGGAAGGATGAGGTGAGGGAGAATATCTACGGCATTGGGACCACCTCGAGGGATTTATAATCCTCAAAGCCGGGTATCTTTCCTCCACTGAATCTATGTGGCGGATGTCATTCGAAGTCCTGTCACCGATGTAGCCATTGGGAGCTCCTCCGTGAGCTGCCAGCACTGACTCCGAAGTACCGCGGCAGCTGTGCGCATGAACCATCAGTCACGCCACACACTGCGGTCTGCATCCATCAGGGCAGGCACAATTCTATTGCTTCCTCCATAGTCATTCGGGTATATCTGTGCAAATGGATATGCACCTGGTCAAAGTCAGCGCCCTCAAAGCTGTATGTGCAGGGCATGTGCGTGCGGTCTGGCAGGGGCAGCCATGCAGTGGACTCGTCATCCAAGGGTGAGAGAGGGTCGGGCTCATTGTACGCAAGTGAGTGATAGCCAATGTGTCCTATCCTGGCCAAGGGGTAAAGAGCAACAGCGAGAGATCCAGTGGAGCAGAGGCCCGGGGTGAGGATGCCTGTGTGCTGCTGATGTGAACCTGCATGGACATGACCCATAGTTCTGGGCATGAATCTCCATAGTCATCCCATACAGGTGCATCAAGCATACAGCAGGGCGACATCGGGCATGCAGTGGTCAAGATCGGTGGAAGCATCCTGCATGGGATGAAGAGCCTGGGAAGCATGGCAGTCACCGCGGTGAAGGTGGACGTCACTGCTGCGACATCCTAAGCATGGCAGCTAAGGTGGGAGGTGCCCCCACTGGGCTCACGAGTATGTTCTTCTCCAGGAGCACTCCTACTGCTAGTGTGGTTGGTCATTCACAGTGGCCATCTGCGTCTGTGCAGCCTGGATCCTTTAGTTCACCTCCGGTGCAGTCTCCTAGTCATGACACCATGACTCATCCTTTCATCTGTGCCAGTTGGCCATCCCTTCCGTGATTGCAGGCAAGATGGCCATGTTCGACTTCAAGCCGCTGCTGTCTTCTTCTGCAAAAATTGACAAGATCGCCGACTTCATAGCTTCGAAGCACCAGCTGATACAGAGTCTCAGGTTCTCTGCAAACGGTGACAGGATTGATCCTCAACGACCTTTCCGGAGCACCTCACAGCAATCCCCTCATGTCAAGGCACTGTGGCATATCTACAATTGCTGATGAGGGCACACTTCCACGATTGTCAGGGATATGGAACCCGCAGTGCTTTACTATTGAGGCCTGCAACCGCACCGTCCATGTCTTTGTAGTCAATTCATACGGAAGACGTCCTGATGAGGCTAGTCATTTGTCCCAAAAAGTGATGAATTAGACAACAATGGTACACCCAGTATCATGCGCTACAATGTACTACACGCGATCTGACAACGCTATGCGTTCAGCCACCTCTTTTGACTGAGGTCCCATTCTCTAATCTGGGGACTAGATGCCATCTCCTCAATCATGCCATGCATCGCTTGCATTCCAGATCATATGTTCTTCCTCAGTGACATTACCGTCCTCTCTCCTTCCACCTCCTGCAGACTGGACAAACAACTTGACGTATCCAGTGCAGTACTGGAGCAGGGAAAGTGAGAACGGGATGATCTTCATGCCGGTGCATTAGAGTATGCTTCCATGCTTCTAGAACCATCCTGATGCTGTCCTTGATGTTCGCATGGGACAGTTGAATACTCTGAACGAGCTGAGAGACATGACCTTCAGCTTGATGCAGTCACCATGCATCAGGGCAGGTCAACAATATTCGGTTCACGTAAGTCGTTCCTGACGTCATGTTCGCCAGACATTAAGCACTCACTGATGATTTCCATTTGGTTGCAGGATCTATGGATGCACTCAGAGAATGGGACCGCTGTCCAAAACTTCACTGTGCATGCTGTGCCTGCACATGGTGTTGTCGCGCTGCTGTGAAATGATGACGGCCTATGCTTCAGCAATTTTATCAGACAGATGCTGAGGAGTACGAGATCGACCAGATTACTCTGGGCGTGGTGCAGCTACTCCATCCTCATCACCGCGCTTAATGACACGATGGCCAACTATGCCATCCGTGCTAACTTTGACACGAGCATGTTCGACACCGTGCCCGACACTCTCAATTCGAGTGAGCGACAGTCCACCTTCGCTTATAGGTGCCCTTCTCTCATACACTTGCATGCACAGATGCGACCTCGTATATCATCTATAACACATTCTCATCTGCAAAGACTGTCGAGAACATGGTGGATGAGTATCTGTTGATGAATGACACACTGCTCATCCCTTACGACCCGATTGGCATCATCCCCGCAATGAAGACGATCCCGCTCTACTTTGAGTTCGACACGATAATGATGGCATGAACCACGCGATGGTCAATTTCATGACGTACAACTTGCCAAATGTGCCTTCAATCATGTCCATGCTAATACTGGCGAGAATGCGACCATCCAGGAGGTGGAAGGCCCAAACTGCTTCGTCATCGACCATCTTAACATTGTCGACATCGTCCTCATGAATGGTGACTCTAACATGCATCCCTTGTATGTACCTCACTCCCATCGCGTGCGTGTCCACAAGCCTGACTAAATCATATGCACGCATACAGCCACTTGCACGGGCACACGATGCAGCTCGTAAATTTTGTGCCAGACTACACGAACCCACCACCCATCAATGAGTCACAGTGAACCCGATGTGCCACGACACCATGCTCATCCCTGCCAGCGCTGCCTACACTTTTCACTTCATTGCCGACAACCCTGGCACCTGGTTCTTCCACTGTGCTTTTTATCCTGCATTTGTTACCACTGTGCAAGCATGCTGATCTTGAGCCTATCCAGGTCACATCGACTGGCATTTGAAAGTCAGATTTGCAGTGGAGATCATCGAGGCCCCACTTAGCACACAGTGGGTGTGCCATACTCGGGCAACACCGCAGGGCACGCATCCACAAAGGACCTCAGTGGGCTGATGACTGACCCATTCATCCATATCAACAGCTGGCACCTGAGAGGTATTGGTGCCATGTTTGGGTAAGCAGTCACTTCTACCTGTAATGAAATGGTTGCTGATCATTGGTGCATCCTTCCCCCTCATGCAGATGTGTTTTCACGGTGACACTCAGCATGGCCATGGTGGTGTGGTACTCGCTCGGCGGACACATCTCGAGGCAGAGATAGAATACGAGGAGTGCCTGCGCCTCGAGGCCAAGACTCATGTGGGCAGTTTTTTGGGCTCAAGAAGAAGGTGAAAAATATGTGACACTGGGCTGAAGACTGAGATCAAGGAGGATGCTGTCATTCCACCAACATTGTGTTAGGTTATCGTTCATTTGTGACATTTAGATGTCTGTCCGTGCACTATAAATTGTAATTTTTGCATCGATAAAGTGCATGATCTTGCTTTTTCGTCCGCAGATTGCGTATTTGAGCGATGCCATATCATAGAAGGTGGGCTTTGCATCGTACAACTTCACCAGCTGGTGACTTCGGACTTCCTCATGAGCGTTTCATTTGCTCCTTTCATCAGCACATTAGATCTAAAACATCTCAGATGTACACCTTGTAACCCAGATACCCCACAGCACGATGATAGCAGTGGTAGCAGGCCTCCCCTCCACCACTTGCTGGTTCTTCCGCTCCTCTCACCCCACTGCATGCCCAGCATCCACATCCATATTCACACCCCCCATGCCCTCATCAACGGCCACTGACCCCAGAGCACCCATGATGAGGCCGACCTTGTCCACCTGCCAACCTGCTACCTGTGCCTTCTCAACGAATGCTGGGAAGTCTGCATCCACAGCATGCAGCGCCATCTGCACTGCTGCAAGTGCAACATCAAACAAGCACCCTGCGCACCCCGTGAGCAAACATGCAGTTTCGTGTGCATGTGTCCATGCCTCGAGCGCATCGAGCGGTGTGTGGCCGGCCTTCATGCAGACGTGGATGTGCGAGAGTGCATGTGACTGTGGGCTTGGCCAAAGCAGGTAGGCCTCTGAGAAGACAAAGAGGATGCTCTCCAGGTGCACGGTGGAGAGGTGGAGTTGGGCTTGCTTGTTATCACTGAGGGGTCAGCGAATATGCACTCGTGGGAGATGACGACTTCTGAAGAAAGAACGGGAACATCCACCACATTCCTGCCTATATAATCATTCTATTGAGCATTGAGGCCTGAACGAATATTCAGAACGTACCTTGTCCCCTCAACTCTGCATGATGTGCAAGCTGCTGTAGCACTCACAGCATCATTTCGAGGCTCATTGCATGCAGAGACCGCAACCAACTTTGTGGGCAGATTACGGTCAAAGTCTGCTTGGTTGCTAAAGTCTGAAGAGCACCAGTCCTTATACACCAGGCTGATAACTGTGTGAGGTTCAGCGGGTTGGAAAAGAAGTGTTTCAGCATTCAGTAGGGGTGAGAGATATATCGCCCTTGCCGTCCGTCATCACGGTCACATCTTCTTCACGTACCCATAAATTTCTAGACAAATATCGATGTTGATGAAAGCCTCATAAGCCACTTCAGATGCATGGTGCACCAATAAGCAAGTCCTGGAAGTCTTGCGCATCCTTGTGGGGCCCCACAAGCTGTACATAATATGGGCTTTTTGGAGACTCCGGGGTGTCATATTTGATCCCAACGATGAGAGCCTTCTTCTTCGGTGGCTGATTGCTCTGCTGACAATGGAGGCAGCAAATGATCTTCATGTCTATCCCACTCAGCGACTAGCAGCAACGGCCAAGCACAATGGTGAAGGAGGGACAGTCGCTGCACATATGGGCGTGCCTGAGCAGGATGAGTGGCTCTGAAGGTTCAGATAACTGGAGAACTTTAGGTGGGCTGGAAGCACTGCCGAGGAGCAAGCCATGGGCTTGATAATTAACATAAGGTGGTGGGGCTGTGCATGCCTGGGTCTGAAGATACGGGTTGACTAGCCTTGATGTGGGAAAAGCTGCCATTCCTGCCCCTTGCGATGCTCTCCACAGCGACTTCTGGCTAAAGAAATACAATACGTCTTCCGCTACCATTGATATTGTGCAGCAGCTGGATGTACCATTTACAATCTGACCTTCCATGCATCGTGACATATGATTCACACTTGCTAACATGAGGCCCGCCAAGGCATGCTAGCAGCATCATCACGGCAGGATGTATGTTTCACTAACAGTTATGGACAAATGAAGTCTGCTCACCACCCATCAACTTTCCTCCTGCCTGCAATGTAGAAGATATTTGCATAGTGCTGAAGTATTTCAGTTACCAGTCAGAACGACATGAGGTGGGCGATGAACGGTAAATTGCACATGACTGCAACGAGGTTCATGTTCAACCTATCCACATCTCACGTCACAATCTCAGGACTATCTCAGAACCACCCATCTCTCTTTATCACACACCGCCCATAGAACATCACACACCACATCCACACAGGGTAATGTATGTGGTGACCAGAGAACTTGCAGACCCTAAGGTGTGACTACTGGCAAGTCTAAACTGCCGGTTTCAACTTCAAGGACCAAGTCGATGAGCCTGGTGAATACGGTCCCTTGACTCGACCCAATGCAGTAGGAGATCGCTACTAATGCATATGCAGAAATGACAGTAGAACAAGAGCTCGGTGGCATTGGATGCATGATGGCGGCACCATTGTAATGTGTCGCAATGGCTTTCGATGACCTTGGCGACACTGACATACAAACTCTCCCTACAATGCCCCGTGTATCCGCACAGACATCACATTGACCCTGCAGTAGCTGCAATTACAATGTCTCCCAACATGCCATAGCTCAAAGCTGCGCATGCCTCTGATGCCGCTTACACCCCGCCTTCGCCTCCAGTCGCGATCTTCATCGGGAGCACATCTGGCATCGGACATGCCATGGCGGAGGCCCTCACCCACTATACCAGTGGCAATGTGCAAATCATTATCATCGGGCAGAACTACGCTGCAGCGCAGGCCATTATCGCATCCTTTCCGCCGCCCCCGACAGGTATACAACACGAGTTCATGCCCTGCAATGCAAACCTCATGAAGAACGTTGAATCGACAACTCAGAGCCTTCTTGCACACCTGCCCAAGATGAACTATCTTGTCCTCTCCGTGACAAATCTGCACTTCTTTGGGAGGAGTGAGATGAGCGAGGGCATAGATGACCTCGCCGTGCTGATGTACTATGCTCGATGGAAGTTGATCCATGACTGGATGCCACTGCTGAGGAAGGCGAAAGATGCCAGCGAGGATGAGAAGGTTATGTCGGTCGGAGAGCCAGGGTTGGGAAATGGTATCGACCTGGATGACCTCAGGCCAAAGAAAAATCAAGGCATTCTGAACATGCGAGCCCAGCTCTCAATGTACAATGATCTCATAATCGAGGTGCGCCCGATCTGCATTCTCTTACTCACTCTGATCCAATCTTTCCAATAGGCCTTCACAGAGTGTGATCCCACTATGTTATTCATTCACATCTGGCCAGGAATTGTCGACACGCCAATATTGGGGCATTTCGCCTAGTTCCTCTTCTACTTCTTTTCTGTATCCGCTGAAGAATGTGCGGAGTATATGCTGTACACACTCTTCATTATCGGCCCTGGTGCCCATCGCATGGACAATCACAGCAATGACATGGGGAAGGAGCGGCACATGAGCTGAATGAGCCTGTCCATGAAAGGGAGGACAGAGAATGCCATGTCAGTGCTCCTGGCAAGGTCATTCTCTTCTGAGAGCATGCAATCGTGCAGAGTGTGGTAAGTGGTTCAACTAAAAGAGTAATGCATCTGTGCTCATTATTACGATAGCCGTTATTGAAGACGGCTATCGCAGCTTCAGTAGACCTGCGTTGCTACGGATTGGCGTCACCACGGCATGACAACAAGCTGTCATTGCACCTCTCCGACATCAGAAATTACCACTATGAGCAGGATCTTGACGATCTGCCATTGAACGCCCGGAAAATTGCACCCAGATCAGCTTGACCAGAAACTGATGGGGGCCATCAGTATATGTGCTTTGTCTCCAGCGGATGAGATCCCTCCGAAGGTGCAGGGTCCATGGTGACCTTCCTCTACCTGTACATGATGATGATGCATGGCAGCCTCTGGTGCATATTGGTGTCTTCGGAGTAAAGCTCTACTCATCAAGCTCATTTATTGCAGACCGTCATTCAACTTTATGGCGTGATCGACTCTTCCCATGGGTGCGGGCCTCGGATCCTCAGCATCCTCCTCGGTGTGTGTTGCTACGGCGCTCTTACTCCTCCAGGAGTGCATCTTCATCCCACGGCTTTCTTCGAGCAGCTGCCAGCATGCGAATGGTGATCCTGGCCACCTAAACATTTCACACCAGGGTCGGTGGGCCATCCCTCCAGATGTCACGGAAGAGGTTAACCGGTGGACGTTCATCGGGAAAGGTTTTACATGGTAGTCCGAGTGGAATGGATACCTTGGTCACTGTGTTTAGTGGTGTGCTTCCATATACGTGCCGGCTTTGGGATGAAGAGCGGGATGGAGCAGATCCAAAGGTGAGCAGAAACTCTGCATGAGTCTCATTCGTGATGCTCATTATGATTCAGTTTCCCCACTTTCAATCGTTGCATTTCTTGTTGGTTGGTTCCAGAGTGCCTCGTGACATGAAGAAGCTTGTTGCTGGCATTATTTTTGATAGGTGACATTCTGCTCATATGCTCACTCTATATTGTATCACGGGACAAGGAGGCTATGAATAAGATATTGGATGCCATTCACGGCATCAACAATGATGCTCATCGAGCGTTGGCCAATCCAGAGCTTCCCAGGGCATCGCTGCTTTCCAGTGCTCTCTCCGTGCATTCGACTCTTTTTGTCACTGACCGCGGTGTTCTTAATGTCATGATACAGACTTTGATCAATGAGAACCACGGACATCTAGTTCTACTGGACGTTTCTCATCCATCTTTGGAGACCATCCATTCGACAACTGCTTCCGAGCAGTTCAGACTGAATACGAGGCTTACCGGTGCAGGCAGAGGACATTACACCATGACTCTTGTGCCAGATGGTGCAACATGCACATCTTCTATGAAGGTCTAGTTGCTGACATGCATTGGCATGGACTTCTGCGACTTATCTCTATGAGACTTGATCTCTGCGTTGGAGGGCTCTGGCTTCACGACATACACCAATTCTTTGGATGGTTCTGGGCTGGGCATTCTATCATCCTACGATTATGAATATCCGCCGAACACTATCACACAACCTGGGAACCCCGAGAGATGAGGATATTCGTGTGGGCACGATCGATGCGGCTCCATCTCTACATGAGCATTTTACAAGGAACAGCATCGGATACGTGCCTCAGCGAGTGGAGGACCGTTGCCGGTGACTCTATGTATAACTTGTCTCAGAACGTATTGCTGTTTGGGACGCTGAATTTGTGATGATGTACAGATATTGTGATGAATGTTGGTGGGTTCTTATGAAAGTAAGGATGGATCTAACCATGGAAACCTCCACATTGAGCCTAGCAAAAAGCGCATTGAAGCATGATTTTGGCAGATGATGGTCAGTCGGGAGCATGGAGGACTTATAGGCAGAGATACTCACGGTCACGTGTGTGGCACAATCATGCTTGTGGCTGATAACGCGAGCTGCGTCACTAATAGCACCTCTTTCTCTATAATGCTGACTTGCCTGCGCTCATCCTCTTCCATGTCTCCTCTCTTACTCTTGATGGATTTTTGTTATTACTTATTAATTATACTGCTATGGTGTCCTCCTTATTAAGCCAGCCACAATAATGGGGGTTTTCACAGTTGGCTTTCAAGCGGCTTTCAAGACGGCTTTCAGCATCCTGGCTTTCATGATGCCCTAGGCTATTTCGGAATCTGCTGAAAGCGCCGCACTGAGCTTTGAACAACCCCTCAAAAGCCGCTTTCGACTCAGCATCTAGCTAATGTGTCTTGCGACGGAGTCCCAATGTATTAAAGTTCGAGTCTCGCGTCTGTGGCTGCAAACCTTCACGGTTCGAACCCTGTGCATGTACTTTTGTTTCGCTGTCTTGTCATTTCCATTATCATTTTGATATATATTTGATGCAACATGATGATATGCATGTGCTCGTAGCTCAGTGATTGGACTGTTAGGTAAGGAAATTCCCTATTAGTGTGTCTGCTGACTCAGGTTCGAATCCTGTGCATGTACTTTTGTTTCGCTGTTCTTTTTTCTCCTGTCATTTCCATTTTGTTGTTGTGGCCAGTTCGGACTGTATAAGCTGATCTAACATTATCTCAACCTTATGGTGCAATCTGAGAACTTGCAACACTTGATTTCACTGTCAGCCCAATATACAGATTGCCTTCCTTCGACGCCGGTGGTTGGAAGTCCTGCTTCCCTATAACTCAATCTCTTCTGGCACAGGAGCTTTCACATATGGTTAAGCCAACTCATTTGTCTCAAATCCTGGCATCCCAACGAGTTCACCATTTATCGCAGTACTTTGGGTAGGACGCTCATCCAGCCTGTCTCTTGACCTATGTCTCAGGCTCTCTATGTGCACTTTTGGATTGTAGATGCAATGCTTAAAATTTCCTCCAGAGAATCTGATGCAAATCCATTGCATCCGCCACCTCTTCAGTTGATGAAGAGGACATGAACACTTGATTGGCCCCAAACTGGTGTTATTACTGCCACATCATAGGCCGTCGAGGATTCTGACTTGATACGTGTCACGATGTGAAACAATTTTACCAGCATTACTGGGAAGGTCTGGTCGCTCAAGGCTGCGACATTCTTCGGGATTGGCCTGGATATCTTCGAGCATGTAACGGAGGAGGTGATGACGAGCTATGTAAAGATGTGGGCTTGGTAGGTGATTCATGTATCATGTCCTTTTTAGTGGGTTAATTTTATGTGGGATTTATAGCTGGATAACATATTTCATGGAACTCGCTGCTCTGATGATCTCAAAGTGGTAATCAAGGCTGGCCATATGCATAGTCACGAGTACGGTATTGTGCGATATCTATCTACCCCTCCTGTATGAGATCATCTCATGAATCACTGTATTCATGCGTTTATATTCTATTGTATGCCTGCATGATACTGATCAACTGTGCAGCTGTTTTGGACATAATCGATGTTCCGGAAGATTGGATTGCATTTATTGTCATGGAAGAGTGGTTACTATGCGTCAACATCTAGAGGCACATTGCTATTTCTCTAGCTTCACTTCAACACCTCATTACGCTGAAGGCAGTATCACAGAGTGCCGTATCCCTCATCGTCACCACTATGAACAACTGCATGAACCAGGGAGTTGACATACAGCTGCGCATATTGCAAACCCTACTCTCGCCCATCACCAATTTTCCAGCTCTTCATAGTGAACTACTGGGTGACATGTGCACCTGTGAAATGCAGCAGCAGGGGCACAACTGATAAGTTAACGTAGGCTCTCCTGCTATGCTTCAAGCTCAGGAATCATGCATAGCATGTCGTATCGTCAACCACTGCCGTGACTCTCCGACAATTGGTGCTGTCTGTTGTGGACAAAGTCGTAGATGAGGACCACCGAGATGAGGTTGAGGTCAGCTCAATCATACGGTGTTATTCAGGGTGCGTAGACATGCTGAAAAAGCCAGAATGTTTTAATGCTTGCATCAGGGATCATCTGCGAGCAGCGCGAAGCAAAAGATGGACCACCTGTTACAAGCCACTCCATGAGGAATTGATGGGTTGTGTGACGGATATTGCTTGAAGACTTGAATCGAGAACAGCATGCTAACCAATAATCCTTCAGATAAGAGATATCAATCGCATTGATGTTTATATTGCCCTGCTCCACTTCAGCATGGCCTGGTCCAATTCTTAACTGACAAGATAGAGGAAGGGAGGTGGGTCACCGTTCGGACTTCCTGCATAAGTCAAAAACACATTACTGCATATCACCGAGCAAGGAATCCGCCGCAGTGAAGTGGCACTTTCGAGTACAGAGTTAGGTGATTGATGAGATGGAAGCTTAAGGACATAAACAAGGCCAAGTTCTCCTGCGCCGAAATTGCGCTAGCAGTCACACAGTAATGTACATATACTCGGTCAAGCAGGCGGCAGCCACTCGAAGACCCCATATTTGATCGCCTTTTGCTCGCCGTTCAACCATGCAACTTATTTTTGCCCAATCCTGGAACATCGGCCAGCACTCTCTGACAATGTCAGTCTAGTTGACCAAAACCCAGAAGGAGTTGGGAGCTTCACGAAGGAGTCAGAGATTCGTGAAGGAGTCTCGAATCAATGTGATCATCAGCAGGCTCACATCATGCAAGGGCTCACACAGGCATGCACCTCCCACATGTTCGGCTTATCATATATCATCATGCGGTCACAATCGATATATCTTCCAGACCTCCTCGAATCAGCATTGCTACCTCACTCAAGTCGATCTTGCTATGTCTCCCAGACCTCCTCACGTTGGCATCGCCATGTCTCCCGGATCTCCTCACGTCGGCATTGCCACATCTCCTGGACCTCCTCACGTGGGCATCACCACGTCTCCCAGATCTCCTCACATCGACATTACCATGTCTCCCGGACCTCCTCATGTCGGCATCGCCACGTCTCCCAGACCTCCTCACGTCGGCATCACCGTGTTCACCGGGCTTCCTCACTTCGGGCTTGTGGTGTCACCTGGGCCTTCTCACGTTGAACTCATCACATCTCCCCCATCTCCTCAAGTCGGCTTTGTCATGCCGCACTTTCAGACTCCATCTTTTTCTGATCCAATGCCTGTGAAGAATGACTTGTCTTATGCCACTCTTCGCACCGAACCCGCCCAACCGTCTGTAAAAACTATGATCAAAACAGAGCCTGACTTCGAGGATGAACCTGACATGAGCACAGGTATTGCGTATACCCAGGGTCATGATGAGACCGACATGGACCTTTCTATCGATGACAAGAGTAACTATCTGAGCAAAGCCTCCGACACAGCCGTGGACCATGCCGAGGGTGATAGTTTATCAGAGGACGCATTCGCGAACCTGATTCTAGGGCTCCTCTATGTCCTCGAGTTCTGGCTGCCCAACAGTACTGCATTCATTGTCACTAAAGATCATCAATGTCTTCTTGTGAATGCCGACCTCCTCCAGAAGAAGTCCGGTATGATCACACAAATCTTCACCATGGCAGACGAGATCGATGGTAAACCGGTGATCTCCTTCGATTTCAGCACTGAAGACAGCTGTCATTTTTTTCGCTTTTTATATAACCCTGAAAGGTATGTTTGCTCATTCTGCTCAATCAGATGCACATCAACTGAATGCTCGAGCACAGGGCAATTGTACCAGGATACCAGATGATGTTTGCCCAGTGTGCCGCTATAGCAAGCATTGCACATGCACATTCGATGGAAGGAATATTGAACGCGACACGTCAATGGCTTCAAATGGCATTTACAGATTCTATGGAGACGTGGTTTGGCAATATGGTCATGCCAAACTCTTACAACAACCCCTACATCTCATTCACTGCCATGGATGCATTCCAAGCCATGGCAATTGCTCGCAAGATAGGATGGTATACAATGCTGCTGATCGCTCTCTATTTGTGCTGCAAGCTCCTCAAGCTGGGGATTACCTGAGTGTACCCTCACGGGGGTGGGATACACATGCTGGATTTCGATGATGGGGTTGCGGTCACTCAGAGGGCATTGGAGTTGTCGTACAAAGCTGGGCGGCTCAGTGGCAAGGTTTTCAAATCAACGGCAGGTGTTTGCGCATGTGAAAAGCCATCCGTTTGCGGTGCTTCACTGAACTGCATGGCTGACCTCATCCATGATGTCGACGTCTTCCGCACGCTGCTCAGGTTGTCTGCTGAAGTATGAGCTTCTAACACTGATGAGGCCAGACTATGCAATGCTTGTGTGGCCATGGTTCAGGGTCGTATCATTGTAGAGAAGGTTCGAATCTGGGCTGCTCTGCCCAGTTACATGAAAATTCCTGCAAACTATCTTCCTGATTGGCCGAAGTTGCCGTAGTGGTGAGGGTTGTCCAGTTATCATACGGCCTGACAATGTATGGCCTGACAATGTACATTAGCTTTCTATTTGAATCACTCACATTCTGTCTATTGCGCAATCGAAATATGTTGAGAGTTTTTGGTGCAAAGTGGCGTGCGATGCCATGTTTGTCACCAAGGCCCCTCCTTTTCTTCGGCCTTGCCCTCTCCTCATCTGCTCTCAGCGCACACCACATTAATGGGTGCAATGCTCTTCACCACCACCCCATTGCTGCCCATATGCTCACCGCTGAGCCTGAACCCATTGCACAGCTAGAGAGCGTCGTTGTCAAGTCGAAGCACAAGCGCAACCTGAACAAGCGCTGTGCTGTATCTGGCAATGTGCCCTTAGCTGCATCTCAGCCATTTCATCGCACACTGTCTGCTCCAGTCGCAGATCCCACTGGTGTTCGGCTTTCTGTTCTGAGAATATCTTGGGCATCGAGCTGCCTTGAAGTCCCTAGAGCCTGGAGAAAGCACTTCCAGTGACTACTGATAGTACAAACCTCAATGATATCTTGCATGACCAGCGTACCACATACTTTGTAGGCAACCGAGCTCTCAGCTGCCCCCCCCCTTCTCTGGGGGGAGAACAGCATCAAGAGCTCCTATGTTGCATGTACTACAAAGGGTATTTAAAGATTTGCCCCATGCTAATCATAGCTGTATGAGATATGCCCTCCTTGACACCTGATAGCACTCACCGGAGATGACAGTCTTGAGGTGGGCATTGCAGCTGTTGGCCGAGCCAGTACCGGCGCCATGCGATATATGAAGGTGCGGAACATGATGCTTCCCATCCCCGGAGGGGTCGGCATCTGTGTCGGCATCCATGGCTGGTCGGACCCACACAGACGGCGTCTTGCACGGGATCACCATGATCTCACATAGCACGAGTAGAAATGGAAGAGATGCACCTTCAGTGAGCGCTTCACCGCGTTCGTGATCAGCTGTGCTTCCTCTAGCGACTGGTCAAACCCTACTCCATCCACCATGCACTAACCATTAGCACCAGCACCTGCCAAATAAAACACCTTAAGAACCGTGCACCTGGCTGCTCGATGCAGTATTTCGAAGAGGAGTCAAACAGTGCCACCCAGAGCATGCCTGGCCACAGCTGCAGCAACAGCAGCTTCTGCAGTATGTAAAGCAGCTCCTCTTCATGACTCTACGAGATGAGAGATGAGTGTGATGAGTGTGAGGTGCGTCATCAAGCTGTGAACATGGAGAATGGAGATAGAGATGGTCACCTAGGGAATAGAAAGTTACTGCATAGTGCCTCATCGCAATATACGTCACCAGGGTCAAGCGGCAGCAGCAAGGAGCTCTTCGCCATCACGACCGTGTCTTCCTATCTTCGAGGCTTCCTTACGGCCTATCCAGACATTTCCAACATTTACGTCTGCGCGGACAACCGCGCCGCCCTGTCTCTCCTTTTCTCCCTGAACCCCCACCCGGGGCAGCCCTTCTCAGTCACTTTCCGCAAACATCTCACGCCGCTCATGGGCGATTTTCCTAATTTAAAACTTACGCTGGTCTGGGTGCCTGGTCACCGTGGTGTACTGGGAAACGAAGTGGCCGACCGCCTCGCCAAGGCGGCTGTGTCCCAACCCGAAAGCATCCGCCCCACAATTGCGTGGGCACGGAGGTGGGCGCGCGAGCGAGCGACCTCCTCTTGGCAGGCGGAGTATGCGGCTACTGATCGTCCCACTGCACTGCGCGAAGCTTGGCCCTGGGCCCCTTCCTCCACCCTTCATTCTGTCTTCCGCTCAGGGGACTTTTCTCGAAACACCGAGGGTCGATTTGTCCAGGCCGTCGTCGGTCATGGCCACATCGGCACTTTCTTTAATTCCCGATACCACCGTACCTTTCACGGGTGCATTTGCAACCCTGCGCTCCTTAACTCACGCACCCACACACTGCTTAGCTGCCCGCTGCACGATGACACCCGGCGCATTCTATTCGGCATAGCCAATCCAACCCGCACCCACCTACGCCGCCTATGGAAACACCCAGAGGGCTTGGAACGTCTCGCGTTCTTCATTGCCACCACCCCTGCTTTCACTTCTGCGAGCCTGGCGCCATTCGACCCAGGCTAATCGCCCCACCCGCGGCTCTGCCGCCCTTTTACCCTCTCCCCCTAGTTGTAACCACCCTGAGTTGCGTCACGCTGTAGCGTACGCCCGTGCCTGTACATCCTCCCTTTAAACGCCGCACATAGCGCGGGATAGAAATAAATGCCAAAAACAAAAAAAAAAAAAAAAAACAACCCACTATCATGAGGGTATCCGGTCTACCTGGCACTGTATAAACACCCCCTTTGTGCGCAGGAAAGAATTACGGTGCTGAACACACCTTTGGCTGTATCAGAGCATATGAGGAACAGCAAGTCAAAGCACCAATATGAGAACCGCTTGCGCAGAAGTGCCCACCCCACCTCAGTGCTCCCCAGCACGAGCTCTGAGTTGCTGAACCGCTCTAACTTCTCAAACTCTTGTGACAGCCACTTGCCTGAGCCTTTCGAGATCAACTTTGGTGAGGGTGGGAGGTAGCTGTCCTTATCGCGCAGCTGGCTGCTTTGATGCAGGATCTGCACGAGCTGCAAAATAAGGTAATCTGGGATGCAGGCTTCACAAGATAGGGGCCCGAATCATGTCGATCACGAGCGTGGCGATTAGGGCGAGGTCAAAGTTCTCTTTTTCTTGGACGTCAAGTGGGAAGCTGTCGGCGGAAGAGCTGAAGAATGGTTTCAATCGATCATTAGCTGAAACTTGAGGATCTCATCAGTGATGCAGCTCACCAGTCAGCTAAGATGCCTTCTCTGAATGTTCAATGATTTGCTGCCATATCGCTTCTCTTCTATCATCAGGGATGCCTGCTCACAGATGTCAGCCATGGGACAAATTGTATGAGACTAATGCTCACTTTCACCGAGGGCTTGCATTTGTGGTTCACATTCTTTAACCGTTTAATGACCTTGAGGAAGCTAGTCATTGCTGACTTCCACAGCAGAGGATCTTTACCGTATTTTGATGGTGCAAGGCACTCATGCTTCAACCTGCTTGCAGACTCCGGAGGTCTATGTTGTGATCTGTGAGACCTCTGAGAAGCCGGCTGACAGTTGCCAATGACGGTGAGGTCACAGTGTGCCGCTTTGTCAAAAGAACCTGAGCTACAGTTGCCTGTTGCAAGTGTAATTGATAATTTCTACTGAGTTTGACATAAGCTTCGTAGACATACTATCATTTAGGACTTCTTGAAATAAATCTTCATGAGTACAGAATGGCCTCACCATTATCATTGAATAAGCTTCTATGTAAACGGTGAATCATCTTCATCATGTGCTTGCAAGAAGTGGCTTCACGCACCGCTAGGAGATATCACAGATGTTGCAGTTTCGTGGTGTGACTGCAAATGCATTCTCACTGCACCAATGTTAATTGTTATCATTCCGGTGTGCGAAGATGTATTGAAGTGCATCAGCCAGATGGAAAGCATCAACATTTCTGAGTCAGAACTGCACATGCACATCGACGACCAGCTTGATAAGACACAAAATCTCATGGCAGAGGTGTAATGCAATTTCCGAATCGTGACTTCTTACGCTCCTTGATCATCAATGAATGTCTTCACTGGCTTGGGATTCACATTGTAATCCAAGTGCAAATAGTTCAAGTCCTGCCGGCAGAACGTTTGATACCTTGAGAGCTACTTAAAGCAAAAATGAACGCACCTTGCAGTGAATGAAGAGGTTCAACATGTTGTAACCTTGCCGGCAGACCTGAAGACCAGCCTCGACCCAATCAAGGTGAGTAGTCTGGAAGAATGTCATCGCTTTCAACTGGCTGAACAGATTCTTTTTTATCATCACCTTCTCTGGCTGTGTCTTTGGCTCGTTCAGGACAGAGCACTTGAGTAACTTCTGATATGACACGCAGACCTTCAGCGGCTGATTGGGCGGACAATGTGCAAGATACCAGTTCTTCACGAGTGGCACATCCTGCACACACTGCATGCGTCCTGATCTGTGGTTGTATGGGTCAGGCACCCACCAGAGAGCGATAGTGTCTGCAGTGATGTCGTTTGGCAGTGGTTTGTCTTCAAAAATGGCTCGATCTCTTCTGGTAATTGGAAGTCATCATCATCCGCATCATTCGGGCCAAAGATAATGTCCTCGTGCAATACCAATGGTGTGTTCTTTGACATAACCCACGAAGAAATTGGGTTGATGAGAGGATCGAAATAGAAAGCGGGCAGACCGGGGTCATCGGTATGGATGTATACGTTCTTCGGTGTGTGATAGGGGGAAATGTGCACGGAGCGTGGTAATGAGTTGCAGAGGTGAGAGAAGGTGACCTTGAACTCTGTCCGAATATGCTGACGGATGATGACCTTTTTGATATCACCGAACTCATTCCAATCTTCGTCGAACGTGTCCATATCCCAGTACAATGGCTCAAACTTCAGACCACCAGGGATTGCCATGTTCAAAGCCTTTGCTGTGAAGAATGACTTCTTGTTGAAAAAATAGCTCAAATTGCTACCTGTGTGGTCTGTGTAGACTCGCCATGATAGGCAGCGTCAGATTTCAATACTTGCACGATGGCTTGTTGAAGTGAGGAGTATCAAGAAGGTGTTTCGTATCGTAGAAGAACCACTCGCAAATGGCAGCATCCTCCTCCTGATCAAGCTCTAGCTGAATAGATTTGAGAAAATTGACATCCAAGACATTGTCGCCATAGTCGAGAGGAGGCTCCTCATCATCGACTGGCAGCAAATGCATACACTTGAAATGCCTACGGTCACGCTTCTCCCTCCACATCGCAAGCAACATATTGCTGTATTGCACCTGATATACTGGCTCGATAACTCACGGAATCTCATTGACGGATGTGATAACACCAGTGATGTGATAGAGCACCGGCACTTCACGAACTTGCTCCCAAGGGTAAGGAATGTTTTCGAGCAGCTTTATGACAGCATGTGGAACGTACTTCAGGGCACCTAAATGCACACGTTTGTTATTTCTGAACTTGCGATTGCTCATGTCGCATGGTCCTTGATGATTTTTTGCACATGCTCGAGAGGGAGATCCTACATCAAAATCAGTGGGAGTTACCTTTATAGCAATACTGACTGCATGCACCTGCTTGCCCATATCAATGAATCCTCCCTTGCACTTCTCCCCATAGCACCTCTTCTGCATCTGGATCCATTTTTGCAATTTTTGCGCTAGCACTTCATGAATCAGGAGGCATCCTCGAGCCCTGGACATTGCTGAAACCTCACAGTGGGAGCATACCAGGCAACATTAGCATGTTGCACGGGCAGAGCCCCAGGCACGCAAACTATGTAGATAGAATGGCGAGAAGAATTGAGAGCGAATAAAGCAGACATGTGTGAAGGCTCATAACTACACATGCCATGCACCGGAAAGCAAAATCAAATCACGAAAGAGACACACGAGCAGTGGTGCTGGTGCATGTCTGGAAGGGGCAGGCCAATTAATATTGTCTTTCAGCAGCCTCGATCACGAAGCGCTCTACTGGGCCTGTGCAGGTTTGAGCGGGTGAGCGTGGGTGGGCAGTCAACACAATGGTCATGGAGCTCACTGTGTCGGCACGTCCAGGCAGCAGAGAGAGGAAGAGATTAGAAGGAGGATAGGAGGAAAGAGAGGAGGAAAGAGAGACGGCGGACGGGAAGAAGGACTGGCTCGGAGGGCCATGGTTAATAGCTATCCGACCATTTTTAAGCTTATCTGTACATTATCATGCGAAAATACCCAGCATTACCATAAGTGGAAATGTGGAGTGGGGGTGAGCAAGGGTCGCTAACGTTCGACTCTTTGAACGATGAACGACGCTCTCGATTTTCCTTTACCATTTCACTCCCACAATGCCAACAGAAGTGGAGGAAGTGGCTTATGACTCGTTCTGCCATCCCCTAAGACTGTACAGGCACTAAAGAACCAGAAAGGCTGCAAAAGCCTTAACAGTCTGTATGATGACGGCAAGATGCAGAAGGTCCCTCGGCCGTCAAAGCTCAAGCCGTTGAAGGAGGTGCTCACAAAACTCACTGCACAGATCAGAAAGTGAGTGTGCTGCCCATAGCCTTTAGGTTATATTTTGAATTTTTGGAATATTGGGAAAGATGATTATGCATTTTTCTTGCAACTCGACAAGCGCCAGCTGTCGCCGGCGGCACACCTTGCGACAGAAGGTGATGAGCCGTCATAATAAATGTGATGAAGAATTGTTTGACAACATTTATGACGATCTTTTGGTAAATCAAAAATGAAAGATTCATTTGTGTGGTAGGATAGAATTACAGTGGGCTCGGTCATGAATACGAGGATTTCGTAGTGGAATAGAAATCACAGATGGTAGCGGGAGGTGGAACTGAACATCGCGAGGAAACCATACAGTAGTCGGAGAAGGAAAGATCTGGTGCAAATTAGATGTAAATGTTACATTCTGGCGCACGAGAGAGCTGTTATGTGGTCTGAGAGGGACGTGATGTGTTAGCGTGACACAACCGATAAAAACCTTCCAACAACAACTACAAATGAGAGCAACTCTGTCATGCACCTCACAGAATCGAACTCACCATCATTGAGAAATTGATAGCAGCCTCAATGACAAATACACCATCACCATAATAGGCATATTGCGGCTGTAATGAGTACATTATTTTGAAAGGGAATTGTAGTTTACGAAGCAGTACGAACCATTAAAGCAAATGGATCTGTATTACTATTAGGTGAGCACACGTAGAATGTTCATTTGACTGCCTGAAGGAGATGTGCAACAGGAAAGTACAGAAAACAGTGAAACGAAGAAGAGCAGTAAGACATCGGGTGTACGATCAGGCAGATGTGACGCAAAAGTGGCTGGACAGTCGTCATCAATGACGAAAACAAATTAAAGCAAATGATGCCAAACAATGACAAAGAACGTGAACAGAAAACGTGTTACATTGTGACCTGGGAGAGACCCTGCTGTCGCAAGGTAACCAGTAGATGTCTCACAGGTCCCTGGCTACATGCATATGAACTCAACAACCTATGGATCCAGGCACAATGTCTCACAAGCTCCAGTGTGGAAGATATTGATCACTGGAGGAGTTGGCGGTGTGTGGAGTACTATTTCTTGTCAATAGCGTGTCTGATCCCTTCACAGGACGACATCTGCCTGGTTACCACAAACGCGAAGACATTCACCTGCCCGGCACGGTTTATCTCACAGAAGCAGAGAAGATAGAGGCCTATGTGCTCGAGCACATCGCAAAGGCGTCTGCCATCATGATCGAGTATGAGACGGACTGGAATATCCAGATCGAAGGGGACCATGACATGCAGGACAAGGGCATGCCGATGGACATTGATGACAGGGCGTCCACTGCATCTGTGCCCACTCCCGCCACTGCATCGACCAGTGCACATCCCCCCAGTGGGCCACTGCAGCAGCAGGTACACGGAAGCTGCCAGACACACTGTCGGAGACTCTTGAGAATGACGGTGGACTTGCCTGGTGCAAAGGATGGTTTAGGCGCATTTCCGCCGGGGTCGGACTGGGTTGAATTGATGCTGGCACTCAAGTTGTGAGGTGGGTGGCTTTCCACTCAGAAATGATTGTGATTACTCATGAGCCGTACAGGCAAGTGACACCAAATAAAGAAGGAGCGTCTGCAGATGGAGAAGGGAGGCCTGCTGTACAGAGCAGATGGCAGCCTCAACTACTCTGAATGTGAGCAGCATACACCCCCAACATGACATGAGGAAAGCTAACACCCCGCAGTGGACAACCCATCTTCTGTCCTCTCCTTTTTTGCCCTGAGCCTCCTTCATGACCGCTTCTCACCCCACTCTTACCCTGTTTCCAGCCCTCCGATTGCCCAGGCGCACCCTATCCATCCCCGGTGAACCTCCCTGCTTTGCCCATCACACCAGTCCCTGTCCTCTCTGCACTGAAGATCTCTGCCAGGCCCTGCATGCATGCGACCCAGCGACATTGGACGATCATCCGTAATGCACCTGTGCACAGCTGCGCGCATGAGCAGAACAATGAGGGTGAGTCCCCGCCCAGCCTGAAGCCTGTGGTGGCAGACTTCAGCATATACATGATGCTAATGGGTGAGTTCACAAAGCAGAGGCAAGTCAAGGACATAGGTAAGGAATTCGACTCAGAGGAGAAGGTGTGCGAGGGAATACGGGAGAGCATCGAGGCGAGCACGGTGCAAGGCTATGCAAAGGATGTGCAGATGGGTGGTGCAGAGGGTGCAGAAGAGGAGTATCAGAGGGGCAAGGGTGCAGAGGTGGAGGAGTATCTGCGGGATGTTGTCTACGGAGGTGTAGATGGACTTGCATACGTGCGGAGTTTCCCAGAGTTCGTCAGACCGCAGGTGCTGATGAACTGGCTCGTGCAGGAGGAAACAAGCAAATCACTGAATGCTGCTCTAGGTATGCTGCTTGCTGCATCCATCGACACGCACATCCTCGAGCCGCTCACCGATGGATGGCATCAGCTCCTCTGTGAGGCTGCGCACCTCCTGGATGATGCTACCTTCCGCGTATCACCTCAGGTTCTCTTACAGTTATCCCTCTCCGCATGCCTTTGTCCTCATATCATGCGTGACCTCTTTTCAGAAACCCGTCTGCAAAAAGTCTCTGCCAGCACCATCGATCTCCAAGACAGTCCATCGTGACCCATTCACCCCAATCCTTTCAATGCCGATGATATCATGCTCATGGCAGGCATTTCTCCCCCTCCTCACTTATCGCGGACCAACACCGCCAATTTGAATGACCTCTTCCCTACCCAGCATACCCTTGCCAGCCATCGCCTCTCTGATCCCATCAGTCTCCCTCCAGACACCATCTTCTACATCGACGACCAGCAGCAGATGCTGCAGCACATCCAGTCACAGCCGCTGCTCATGCAGGAGCCAATGGATATGGGTGGTGTACAGGAGCAGCTCTCGTATTCATCTTCCACACTCATTTCCAGCACACCCCAGATCAGGGGCACGATACATAGCTGGAGTGGGACGACATCAGACAAATCGAAGCAGGGCATGTTCAACTTCGTGTCCGATTTTCTCAACAGCTCAAAGCGACCAGAGATCAGCACACCGTATGACCCAGTATCCCTCACCCACATTGGCTTCAACTCATCCACAGCCGAGTTTATGGGTCTGGCCAAGGAATGGCAACAGCTCCTCCAGGAGAGCAGTATCTCCAAGCTCAAGCAAGGGAAGAACTTCACCCTAGGTGGTCATGGAGATCGTCAAGTTTCACCAGAAGGACTGTGGTGACACGTCAGTCTGGGACAAGATGGGCACTGTACTGCTCCTCTGCCTGTGCCACCGGCTTCGATGAAAGGGTATAGCGATGATGGCTTTGACCGTCCAGTGAGTTGTATTTCCAATCGCGTTAGCCTACATACATTGACAGATAGCAGCGTGCTGCACCTCCCCCCCAAAGAAGTCATCATCGGCCCTGACTCCATCCATGCCTGGTTTTCACCATGCTGCTCCCTCCTCTCCTATGCCACTCACACCGGCGCTCGATCGGTCGACCTCCATGTGGCTGCCTCCTTCCAAACCTCACAATACCAATGAGAATCTTACGTGCCAACACCACACGTGCCTCGTGCTCTCCCACGTCGAGCCAACAGACACCACCACTGCCTGTGGCCCTTTCAACTAAGGCTGCCAGGCCTTTGTCAGGCACAGATCTGCATGCTTCTTTGTCTATACAGGAACGTGGCAATGGACGCTCTCCCAACCAGCAACAGCAGAGCCCGGCCCACAGAGCCTGCAGAAGGTAGTGGTGGTGACACCGCGGCTGAGGGAGAAGAAGGAAAAGGACAAGGACAAGGACAAACAGGCAGACATTGTTAAGCGGTTGCAGATGATCTGCACAGATGCAGACTCCACACGTCTGTACCATAATCTGGTGAAGATCAGTGCAGGGTGAGTCTTTGATTGCAGTTCATCGCTATATGCGCATTCTGACTGGTTGTCATGACTCAGTGCATCTGGTGGCATGCATACTGCACATCAGGTCAGAAGAACGTGTCTGTCACAATCAAGCAGATGGACCTGGACAAGCAGCCAAAGAAGGATAATCTGATCATCAATGAGATTCTTGTCGTGCGGATATCACGACACCCAAACATTGTGAATTGTAGGCTTCCTCGCAGCTGCTAACCAGCTGCACATAAGTTCCTCGATGGACCAAGGTGTGTTCCTCAAGCATGAGTAGCTCCACCTTGCTCAAAATGCCCTCTGCATTGGCGATCCTGTAGCAGCTTCTCCACCTTGTAAAGCCACGTTCGTCGAGGGCCAGGGCGGCCATGAGGGCCTCGAATTGTTGGAAGAGATAAGAATTGGAATGGACGGGAATGAGTGAGAATGGACGGATGGAATCATAAAATTGGGCTGAAGATTTGGACAGGAGAAGAAGTAATTGCCAGCTTCGTGAGGGCTTGCAGTGGCTCAAGTCCGGAGGTTGCTGCTGGTAGAATTCCTTAGATTATAGGCATCAATGCCTTCTCCCACCTACTTCATGTATTCACTGTTGACTTTGCAATTTCGTTCTCACACATAACATTGGACATTGAGAAGACACAGATACTTCATTTAAAAAAATGACCACATGATATCGGGGTAATTCAGGCTACTATACATGATCAGCTGTACACCGAGACATTTGAATCTTACACTCGCTGATGTGATGTGGTCTGGAGCCTCTTCAGCCTATGCAACAATCCTTCTTTGATGATGAGCCAATCTCTCCAACTGACTCAGTTGCACATCAAGATATGGCGGAAGCCCCGCCATTGAGATCCTTCTTGCACCACATTGTTGAGACACAGTTTATCGAATGCCTCCTTTGTGGTTATTCCCTGCTTCTCAAACTTCTTGAGATGATGGTCCATGGGTCGTCGGAGATGAAGCAGGAATTGTTTCACATCATCTGTTTCAGCAGCATGCTTCAAAGACATGTCAGCTGTAAACTGAATGTACACTGGATGACGATGTTTCATGGCATCCCAAATCTCGAGACATTGATCCCATGTGATACCTTCACAGTTCATCTGACAATATCGGAGGAATTGATGCCAAGCAAAATCACCGAGCGCACAAAGGATGTGCATGTCATCTGCCGTTTTGAAACTGAAGCTGACGAATTTATCCTTGAGATGTACGAGATGAGGGGAAATGAGCTCATCTGCAATGAATTTTGCAACTATGTCCTCGTCATGCTCATGCTCCAGGATTTTATGTTGTTGCGGTACTTCTCAATAAGAATTAGCCAGATCGAGAAGCTACAAATAAATATGTTACAAAGCAGATGATCCCTGTGTGCACTCGTTATGATCTGGTGCAGAGTTTTCACTGCACTTGACTGAGAGAGCTTCAGGTGGATGAGCAGCTTGGGTAGGGTTAACACGGTTGAGGGCACCACTCTCGATGTGGTCAGCAGGAGATGATGCAGCCATTGATGCATGAGTCAGTAATACGGCATCATCAGTGATGTCAACATTGGAGTGAGGCGGAAGAGAGTCCTGACTGGCATCAATATGGCTAGGGATGGCAGGGGAAGCAAGGGATCCTGCAGCATGAGTGATGTCAACATTGGGGTTAGGAGGGAGAGAATCCTGGTCAGCATCAATATGGCTAGGGATGGCTGGGGAAGCAAGGGATCCTGCAGCATGAGCGACATCAACATTGGGCTTAGGCGGGAGAGAATCCTGGTCAGCATCAACATGGCTAGAGATGGCCAGGAAAGCAAGGGATCCAGCAGCATGAGAGCAGGCTGATGAAGCACAGTGAAGAGCATTGCCGCTGGTAGCAGCAGTTGTTCCTTCACCTGCAGCCATTTCTATTATAGCAAAAGAATCAGGTCCACATTGGTTGAAGTGTGCCTGAGCGATAACTGAGATTACATTGATCATCACAAAAGTAAGAACGGCAGCATACCGCAAGTTGAAAACTGAATGGATAGGATTTTGTACAGCCAGGTGTAGGACATTGGAACTGTTCGGTCTGTGGATTGCGAAGGATCTTGGTGGGTTCGTTGTCATCGGGGAGTAGCAATGGTACATGGGATGCATGAAAGCGGAGATGATGGAGCTCAGGCTTTTTGCCACGTGCATGCCCACATTCCTCACATACTTGCGACATTGTGACAAATGAGACAGCAGGCAGTACCGCACTGTAGTACTGGTGAAAGCTCGATGAATATCAATGGGAGAGGATAGACATTACCTTGCTGCGATGGCCACTGCCAGACATCATTAATAATAGTGCATGTGACTCTCCTCGTGCATCAAAGAGAAGATGAAGCTGTTGTCCCTCCTTCACTCAGCGACAGTATCTCCCTCTACCCTTCCCGTTCTCTCGTAATCCAATCTCAGTGGAACGTATAGTGATTTCAGTCAGCCATATTGAGGTATCCTGGAGACATGCGAGATGCCCACTTTTGCTTCAGTCTCCATTGACGCCAGCAGGGGCGAAGTCTCCAGTCGACCATGATACATCGAAGATGGTTTTGGCATTGGGCATTTTCCTTGATCACTGGCTGCTCTGTATATATCACGAATAACTCATCCAATTGTGGGATCTGCAACCAGGCAACGCATTGTCCATTGACATGAGAAACGCACCAGAAAAATCTAACAATGGCTTATCTGCCCCTTTCGAGCTTTTTTACAGACATTTAGACACTTAAGTTCACAATAAGGGTCAAAAATGTATTAAGCCAGAAAAAAAGAGTCGAGATCTCCTGATTTTTCCTTTCCGTAAAACATAAGCCGTACAATAAGTAGTGACGAGGACAGCCAGTATCCTAAGTCTCGAAAAAAGTCCTGGTAGAAAGAGTCATGAAAGAAACTGTAAATCCACCATAGCAAGCCTGTAATGATTGAAGCGCATAAGCTGGAACTTATGAGCCACAGGTAAATGGAAGCTTCAAGTCAGATAAGAATCTCAAAAGCATGATGATCTGCGAACTTATCGACATAGAAGGCTCGGTACATGTCAAGCGTTTGCGAGTTGGAGAGCCCATGAGGAATAGAAGCAGTGCCGTATACTGGAATCAGATGTACAGCGTGCAGAATGGAAGTGAGCGGAATGATTGATAGTCCACGCACTACGCTTGAGTCTGGTCGAACAATCTGTTGGAATCTGGGCACGGAGCGCAGATGCGAGAGGCCCTAGTGCGACCTGTGCCACCGGTGTGGGAGAGTAGTAGCGCGCGTGTATATAATAGGGTGCGACTACAATGGGACGGGCCATCGATTTGGTCCCGTGGAGCCATCTTCTAGAGAGCGGGCAACTCCCAAACTCTTGGCCATGCAGCGGGCTGGCTGAGAAAGTCAACACAAACCGATAACCATTGACCAAGAGGCACTCACCGCAATTGATGAGAACCACCACTACGAGGTTCCTGCTGGGGACCATGATGCTGACTGGTGAGTGATCCAGTTGGCAGGTCAAGGGCTGGGAGCTGGGGCAGGTCACCGAGGTGTGAAGGCTGCAGGGCAGCTGAGGGACAGGTGTGACTGGGCAGAGGTGGGATCAGGAGGTCGAGGGCAGGAGGGTGAGGGCCAGAGGGTTGACCGCGAGGTGCCACTGTGGTGATACAAGACACCAGGTGCAGGGGTTGGGCACTGCATGAGGTGGGCCTACCAGTGAGGCGAGGGCAGAGCAGGGCGTCAAAGGGCGGGCTGAGTGGATGCCGAGTGAGACAGGCTGGCAGTCTGATGAAGCAGCACAGCCACAGCACGTGGAGCACTGAAGAAAAGCCGAGCGAGGTGCTTGCACAGAGCGCGCATGGAATGGAGACCGAGACCTGAATCCAAGGGGTGTCAGGACTGGCATGCAGACCGAGCGAGCGACGAGCGCATGGGGGCGCTATAGGAAGTCACCAAAAATGGGCACATACGGGATGCATATGGTACGGAGACCGGGACCCAAGATCAGGGGGCACCGGGACTGGCGTATGGACTGAGGCGGGCAGGGAAGCACATGGAATGGAGACCAGCATCCCTGAGGACAGGGAGTGCAGTACAGGCGTGTGGCCCATAATGGGATTGACGCAGCAGTGGCTAGGTCGAGGGGGCGTGTTGAAATCTGGGCATGAAGCGCAGATGCGAGAGGCCCCGGTGCGACCTGTGCCACTGGCGTGGGAGAGTAGTAGTGTGCGTGTATATAATAGGGTGCAGCTACAATGGGACGGGCTACCGGTTTGGCCCCGTAGAGCCATCTTCTAGAGAGCGGGCGACTCCCGAACTCCTGGCCATGCAGCGGGCTGGCTGGGAAAGTCAACACAATTCACATGCCAGTATTAGCATCAGCGGAGTCTCCGCATTGTTTGTACCATCTGACTAGTGCACATGAATACTTAGTTCCACCTGTCTTAAAGGATATAAAGATTAAGACGCGGGCAATGCGAAACTTCAAGAGCATGCCCGTGATGTCCGTGGGGTCGTGCTTTACCAGTACGCAGTCAAAGCGACCAGTGGAACCTTGCCACCGTGGGGTCACACGAATGTGTTCACGATGCATTCCTCCAATGCCAGATGGATCGCTTGGAGCATAGTAGGTTGCAGCAGCAGAATAGTGAATGTACGCCGTTGCACTCGAGATGTCGCTCTTATTGATATGCTTGGAAGGAAAGTGAATGCGGAAGAAATGGAGGACAAATTCAGCAAGTTTTGGTTGGTTAATCTCAGCTGCGATGCCATCAATGTGTCACAGTATTAAGTGGCACCTTTCTTTTTGCACCATTAAAGTCCTCATTTGAGTGGTTATTTGGACGTCACCCTTCATATTGGTCTCACAAAGTGGATACTTGGACAAACAGCACAATACCGCCACATACATTGCAGATATTACTGTGTCTACCACATGACCACCA